GAAATAGATGGCTTTGTTTTAGATTGGTTTCATTCTATGCATGAAGGGAACCCATCTGTTTTACCAAAGGGACACCTACTGTGGATGGACGAAATCCTGCACCACTGTTGAAACCATGAAAAGCCGTTGTTGGCATTTACAGGGGAACCGTTGGGTTTCTTAGGTGTTGCGAAATGGTTTCTGAAAACCCACAACACCCCCCCCCCCCGCCCCACCATGGTGTGGTTCAAAATTAAACCACCAGGATATGGACTGCAGATTTTGGTCCATGTGTCCACTTACCAGGGCAAGCCATTCTGGGGTTACCCTATTTTTGACAACAGACACATGGGGAAGTGTCCCCTAGAAGTCTGTGGGGGGAAGCGGCGTAGTCTGAGGCGAAGCGGCGCTCCAGCGCGCTACGGGCGCCTGGGGTTCTCACCAGGCGCCTGGAAAGGAACGGCGCGCGCGGGGTTCGTTTTGGCCGACGCCTGGAGCTCTCCATGTGGACGACTAAAGCTTTTGCAAAAGCGCCATGTTCTTACAACACTGTAGTTTTTGCGGGCCATTTTCTTACAAAACTGTGTTTTTTGCGGGCCATGTTTGTTGCAAAACTGTGGTTTCCGCGCCATCTTACCTAGAAAACTGTGGTTTTCAGAAATGTTTTTTCGTTACCAAAAAGTCAAACAAAGGACAAGCAACACACAGTTTGGCAGGGGTCCCTATATTTCCCTTGATGGTGTTTAGCATGCTGAGTGTCCCTTCAAGGTGATGTCTGAAGGGGAAATCTAGGAAGCCCGGTCCTGAGTTCCTCCTGGACTTGATGCTTTTTGGGTTTGGATTCATAGGGTTAAAAGCGACTGAGATTTGGAACATGTCCTTTTGGTTGTCCTTTTTGGTGTCCCGTTTTGGTCAAGGCCCCTAAGGCTAGCCTTTTGTTTCCACTTGGGCAGCGGCCAGAACCCTTATTGGCCATGTTAGTGGGTGGTTCGATTCCTATCTGCTTCATGCAAGACTACTTCTATATCATCCTTCCCGTATGGTTGGTTGTTCAAACCCCACCTTCTGACCTTTTGATGTTCTTTGTCTCCCCCGCAGCTGATACCTATGGGGCCGATAGGCCCAGACATCGGCTTGTTGCGGCCAAACCCTTACTGGCCAGGGCAGTAGGTTCCAGTTTTTTATAGGAAGATCTGTCTATGTAAAGCTTTAAGACCATGCTAGTAGGACAATGGGTCAATGTCGACCTCCCAGCCAACTCCCAGGCCGTGGATTAATACGGAATCACCTCAGAGTGGTGGACATGAACTCCCCATGGCAAGAGGATGGGTTTTGATTATGCGCAGGACTCAGGAAACACACATCTTCTAGTGGTGTTTGGTGTCTGGCCCTTTATTCCCAGCCGCACGGTTCCTTGGACGTTCAGTTTTGTAAGAGATATTTGTTTGTTGAGTTGTGTATTCCATATGTTTCATTGTTTACATGGTCCTGCCCACTGAAACATGGGTCTTAGCCCCAGGATTTTCTGGTTGGTCCAAGGACCCTTTCCTCGGCGAGATGGGATCCTCGTGGGCTTCTTGCCTTAGCCCCCCCCCAGCATCCCTCCGAGAAATGCGAAGGAGTGCCGTTTGGCTTCTGATATGTTGACCCATTCATCAACCAATCAACCAGTTTATGAAAAGGGGGGGTAGTTTTGTCCCCCCCAAAAGTGGACTGCTTCACAGCCAGAACCGGACACCCCCCGCTAAATCAGAGCTGGGGTTGCCTAATAGATCTTTTCCGAGGATGCCAAGGAACCAAAACAATTGGAGGGTGCCTAGAGTTTCCATGACCCCTAGAAAAAGGGGTCACAACCCCTCAATTCTGGGGAATGACCCAATCTTTTCAGGGTTATGGAGACTTCAGGTAGTACCATTAATCCCAATCAGACATTTTCGTGCAGACTTCCGCCTGAACTCTTGACTGGGAATCTGTGGAACTGCACAAGCGGATCGATTCTCGGCCCCCAGACTTCGGAACGGTTGGGGGTTACATGAACCCCCATGACTTGGTCACTGAATTTCAGGGTGACATAGTTTCAACCCTTCCTAAGAAAAAAAGCCCTTGGAAATACGACTGGGCACTTTTTTTGCACGAGGCGGCTCAAACTCCTCGGATTTGCGCGCGGTGCCTGCGTCGCAAGGCGCAGATCTTTCTGCATGTTGTGTGGCGCTCCTGGAGACGATGGGCCGGCGCCCGAGCTCGTTGCGACCGGTTCGGCTTCTTCCGCGTGGCTAAGAATTTCTTGACTGCTAATGTTAACCCCGGATTAATAAACCCCTGGCTGATTAATAGGGGGGTGTCCCCTTTTAGTGGGGATTCATCACTTTTGCAGGGAACACCCCCTAATAATGGGACGGGTCTATTAATCCTGGGTCAACATTATTGGGTTGGATCTTTAGACTTTAACTTTCACTAACCCCCCCAACAAGTCAAACTGTGTGCAAGGGGGTCAACAGCAACCAAGGAATACGTTTATTTTTCTTTGCTGGTTTTAAAGGGAATCTATTACTCCTGTTTTTTGTGTGTTTTCTTTCCAGGGGACTTACGCAAATGGAGGGCTTTCAGTCGGCCCGGAGTCTAAGCGAGTTGAATGCCTGGTCTCAGAGGCAACTCGCGCCGAAGAATGACCAGCAAACTGGGGACTCCCAAGCAGAGCTACTTGAGCCACAATCAAAACCCGGGTAGATGAAGGATAGCAAGGGGCAGTCCCAGCCAGAAAGAGCTGCGGATATCCGTTAATTCTTGAACCGTGGTTCTGGGCTTGGACCATTTTAATACCGGGTTTTGACTATGACTCACTTGCCAACATTTTAGGGTAGAGCAAATACGAAGCGAATTCTGAACAGTATGATTTTCTATGAATTTTCAGATAGCCCCTGGTCACTAGTAATCGCTAATTCTTACCCAGGTGCCCAGTAGTGCCCTTTTACCCTTTTTTGGGGCAGGGGTCCCCTACTAAAATAGACTACAGAAACAAGTTGGTACCCTTATTCTAACCTCTCTACTGGGCGACCTAGTCACAATGAGGTTTGATTTGTGTTTGATTTCTCGGCGACTCTTGCTCTGGCTTCCTGGATCGCCAGTTGCTGCTTTTGTCAAAGCACGTTACCCCAAAGACCAGCAACCGTGACTGCAAAAAGCGGCAACTTGGCTATTTGGCTCTCACTCAGATGACAGAGTGCCGGAATCCAAGGAGACACACAACATGCTACGGTCAATGGCTTGGTTCTCCACACACGCCCAGGAAAACCACCACACGCCCCCACAACAAAAAAGCCACGGAATGCGCAAGCCACCACACCATCAACGACTGGACCTGGTGCCTTGGCCTCAAAACACCACCAAACCTTGCTGGTGCTCAGGAGGGCGTGTGGGAATGGGTCCGCTTAGAGGAAACCACAAGGGGATGGTTTAAACCGATTCCATTTTTCATTCCCTGAGCGGTAACAAACCCTCAGCCACGACAAACCGCCAAACGCCAAGCCACCAAACCATCAACAGCTGCCAGCTTCCCCAGCTAAAAGCCCTTTTACCGTTTCTTGTTCGGGGGAGGGTTCCCCTAGTAAAATAGAGAGAACAGGTTGGTACCAACTTCTACCAACTTCTCAGCTCTCCACGAGGCATTCCCTGGATCCCTTCGCCTCAGGCTCACGAGTGCCATGTGGAGCGGCTGAACCAGCGCTTCCAGGGCGAGCTCCGGCGCGCGGTCCAGGCGCGGAGTGCTTCCAGTGGCGCGGCGTCGCCTCGGCCCTATGAAACCTCCCAAGCCCACATAGGTGTGGCTCAAAATTCAACAGGAGGGGCAAACCGCAGGTGTTGGTCCATGTTTCCACTCACCAGGGCAAGCCATTTTGGAATTCCGGTTTTTGAGCCCAAGCCATATGGGGTGTCGATTTTGGGGGAGTGTTTCTTTTTTTTGCGGGGGCCATGACTCAAACTCAACCAGTTCTGCTTAATCCGGTGTTCACAGATACTGCCATAGGTACCAGTTGGGTGTGTGTTTTCAGAGTTGGTGCCACCAATTTCTGGGGCCCATCCTTCAAACGCAACCAGTTCGGCTTAATCCAGTGTTCACAGTTACCACTTTTGGTAACCAGCCATTTGGGTGTGTCTTTTTGGAGTTGGTACCGCCATTCCCGCATTGTTTTGTTTTTTTTTTTTGGGACCCCCTGCCAGGTTCCAAGGAAGATCGGTAGGAGGGTATTGGAACACCACAAGGAGAACCAAAGTCCATTTGCGGGGTTCCCTTGATCACCTGCAAAGCTTGCGGGTTACCAGCCCTTAGTGGTTTGTAGTTGGTTCAGTGGTAGTTTCCACCACGAAAAAATAGACTGTTAGACTGTTAGCGGGGGATCTGGGTTTGGCTCGCTCAAGCTCAACCGGAAAAAACAAGAAGAAAAAATACAGAAAAAAACGAGACGAGGGGGGGGGGGGGAGCCCGATTTTTTCATGAATCATTTTGGGAACTGCAAACTCTGACCATGGCTCATGTGACATGTTTCGATCCTGCCAGGATGTGTTTGCAAGCATTTACTATTATTGATGTGACTATTGTTGGTTGGTCGCATAAGGCCTTTCTCCTGAAGAAAGGGTTGTTGAGAAGATGGTTTTTTCCTCGGCAATTCTTTGGTTTTACAGGCAGCCACAAATGGCTGCCGATCATTTTTGGGGAGGCTTCCCCTTGCTGAAATAGACTACAGAAAACAGTTGGTTGCCCTTATTCTAACCCTTCTCCAACCTCTCTACTGGGGGACCTTGACATGTTCGTGAGTGTTTCGCTGCACGTTTATCCTGACTCACGCGTTGAAGCCTGCGCGCATTCCTCCAGTTTTGCTACGGCACAAAGATTCCGACCTGCCAAGAATTGCGCTGGTTCTCAGCAGGGGATGCGGGAAGGACTAGAAACCAGCCCCTCTGCCTGGAGCATGTACTTTTGAATCCATTTGCTGAATGTTTTACTGTCCCTTGGCTTTGAAGGGAATCTATCACTACTGGACATATTTTCCATTTTCCAGGGATGGAAGTTTGGAATTTGAAGCGCCATGGGGGGGGGGGGCAAAGTGCCTTGTTGTTCCCCCGAGATTTTGCGGCAAGGAGGCTCCGCCTAGCCAACCACCAAAACATGTCCTTTGGCTGAGGGTGGCTAAGACATGATTGTTGGCCTTGTTCATGCTTGGCACTATATCAATTACAAACGTTATGGTTGCATTCCCATGGTTTCTGAACTGTGATTGCGAGAAATGGATTTCGCAAGCATTCACAGTGGAAGTGCATCTAGCAAGGCAGCGGTCCATAGGGTTTCTAAACGGTGGTGCGAGAGTCGCGGCTCTCGCAACTATCCACAGCGAGTATCCACATGTGGTAAAATGGTTTGCCCAGAGTGAAAGAGCCGCATGGTTGAGACTATCCCCAATCTCCATCTACCCCCTCCCTTTCTATGTTATATCTAGGTACAACATAGCTAACTCACTTCCTGAGTTGGTGGACTTTAAACTTTTTGGAAAGACCATTTTAGTGATAAATAACAAGTTCAAACTTTTTTGGCCAGTCAACTTGGGAAGTGAGCTAAACGCTACGCCAAGACTCAAAGAATCAGTGATCCACCGCGGAACAGTTGCCATCATTGAAAGGGGGTGCCAACCGCCGCAGGCATGGGCCCGTGGAGATCTTCTCTTCATGGCCGACCTCGAGGCTGGCGCATGTCGGTGGGCCGGGAGGGGCAGGGAGAGTGGGCAGGCCTGGTTTGGTTTTTGGTTTGGTGTGGTGTGTTTATATATATATATGGTAACCCCCCCCCCCATGGATCTACCTGCCTTTGGAAATCAGTGGTATGTTACATATATATATATATATACACACACTAGGTGCCCGCCACGGGTGGTTTCCACTAGTGTCCCGTTAACAGAAGACCAAAAAAGGTACCCTCAAGAAGCACACCCCCATATATATATATATATACATACACAAGTATATATGTATACATGTGTTTTTTTTTCAAGACCTCGCACGAAAGACAGTTTCCTTATCACCTGTATGGTTCAAGCGGTGGGCTGGGGGGAGGGAGGGAGGGGGGAGGGAGCCCAAATAAGCCATAAATAAGGCCGCTTAATAAGGGCTCCCTCCCCCCCCTCCCCTCCCTCCCCCCCGCCCCCATGACATATGGCATGTGTGACTGCGTTCCCAACAAGTAGTGGACCCTCTCTTGAATAGGGTGCCCCAATCAGCCAGGGGTTGTTTTAATCCTGAGTCTTTACCACCAGGATTCCAGGAAAGAGATGGTTCCGTCTTTTTCCAGGGAACGCCCGCTTTCAGGTGAAGAACGCATCAAGATCCCTTGTTCTAGCAATCTTGTAACCTGTCAGCTTCCGCGATTGGAGGGAAAGTAGTCAGCGGGAAAATTGTCGAATGGCTCAATCGGCCATTCGCGATCCCCTTGAAACTGGAATTACCCCTTTCATGGGAGTTTCTCTATGCAAATGGGGCCCCCGCCCCCGTCCCCCTGAAGTTGGGGGGGATGCTGATTACACGGCTGTTAAGTTTGAAGTGGCAGAGCGGAATCTCCGGAACCAAAATGGGCGTCTTGTTTTTGAGGGCACCACTTTAGGCAGGTTGATTTGAAGGAAAACCAAGGGAAAACAGCTGATGTTTTAGGCATGACCCCTATTGTGAGACACACTCGAATGGCTTGGCATGTGCGGCGCCGCTTTTTTTTATTTAGTGGGGAGCTGGTTACCCCAAATCAAGGTTTGACGTACAGCTTGCGTGGCGAACCAGTATTGAAAGATGCGACCCTATGTGCCTATCCCAACAAGGGTACCCGAATCAACGAAACAACAAAGAAACATGCAATTACTTGCACGATTTATTTGTTGTTTCCCAGTCTCTCTTTGTGAGTTCCTTGACTTCAAGCTTTCTGTTCAGGCCATTTTGGTGAAATCGAAAGTTCGATAAACAATTTTTGTCTGCTCATCAACTATTTGGGAAGACCACGTTTGTGGTAACATCGAGACATTGGACTTATGATTGTTGCCAATCCACTCCATCGGACGTGATATTTTTTTCTCGGAGCCCATAAATGAACAAGTGAGCAGAGTATTTTTTGTAGAGCCCGGAGCCGGCGTAGGCTGAAACCCTGTAAAAATGCATCTCGCGTAGGCTTGCGTAGGCTTCCGCGGAGTTCCCCTTTTTTTATGTACCAAAAACAAACTCTGCTCAAGTCGCAGCCGGAGCGCCCAAAACAGCCGCCGCCAGGCTCAGCGACGGGAGCTGTGCTTCCTGCAGTGGCCACGGCCCTAGCGGGCGGGGAAGCAACGCAGTGGGACGCAAGAATGCGACTTTTGGTATCAGTTGGGACCCTGGGATTTGTCTGGTTGTGGTTATTTGTTTAAGCCTGTGTGCTGTGTGATTGTGGTGACTGTGTGTGTGTGAATGTGTTTTGTTGTTTTTGTTGATGCTTTGTGTTTGCGCCTTGTTTTTTTCCCGGATCTGGACACACTTTAACGAGGGTAGCAGGTGGTTGTTTGTCCTTTGCTTTGCTTTTTGGAAGGAACGAAGCGGGTTGGAGCGGAGAAGCAATGAGAGTTGGCAATCTAGTTCTTGAGCTCGGAATAAAGCCGATTTAGTCCATTTAAATGTTGGCAAGTTGGGGGACCCAATTTGGATGAAGCTCCTGAAGGCTAAAGAATGGTGAAGTATTAAGCCCCAGGGCCTGGGGGGGTCGTTTTGCATTGCTTGTATTAAAACATCAAACAAACAATGGTCCCTTCCTGATCCTTATGGGATGGCATTGGTCAATTTCTTTCCTGGCATGTTTTACCAGGTCCCCCAGTAGTGCCCTTTTACCGTTTCTTTGTTGGGGGAGGGTTCCCCTGCTAAAATGGACTAAAAATAAAAAGTTGGTACCAACTGATTCTATCCTCTCCACTGGAGGACCCAGTTAAGGCTTCGCTTTGATGCCCGCCGCAGCGACCCGGATCCTTGCCACTGCATGCCCCTATATAGGTACCGCATTTCTGCTCATGTTTTTGCAGGACATACTGTGGATGGACGAAATCCATTTCGCACCACCAAAGAAGCCCTGGAATGGTCTGATTCCTTGTAAATACGTTTCCCATGGTTTCTTAGGTGGTGCAGGATTTCGTCTATCCACAGTATCATTGCCTGCAGGTATGCTGAAGATCACCCAACGTCGAAGTACGCAAATTGGAACTACTTTCCAGTCCTGCGTGAGGTTTGGGTAAATTTATGAGTAGCTTCTGGTTCACTTAGGGACATCGCCGCGCTGGAAAGTGACCGTGGCAGTGTGTCGCTATTGTTTTTTCCACCTCACATGTGGGTGGTGGACATGAATCCCCACTAAATGATGACATCCGTGTATGTTGGGAGGGCAGCGCGGAGCCCAACAGATCCAAGGGACGGAGTATCCAAAGCTTTCCCTTTGACACGAAACTTCCATTTGCTTAAGAATATGTGTTTTATTTATTTATTTTCCGCTGTTGGTTTTAAAGGGAATCTATCACTACTGGAAATATTTTCTTTTTTTCCAGGAGACTTGAGCAAATGGAGGAAAACAGAAGACCGAACAAGCTAAGCCCCTAAAAGACTTGGGGAGCAGCCGCGAAAAGCAAAGCCTCAAGATCCTGGAAAGGGGGATGTGCGCACGCAGAAACCTGCGGCCTTTTTGCGGGGTGTGGTCTTGAAGCAGATTCATTGGCGCGCAAGCATGGCGCTGCGGTTCCTGAACAAGATGCCGGCAAGGGCAAAGGAAGGCGCTACCCTTGTGGCCGTGCCTGCAACTCCAAGTTGGTGAAAGAGCTCATCAGGGTGGCGGGCTGGGTCTCGTCGGTGCGTAGAGACCGCCCAATTCTGAATTAGGCCATGAGTGCCCGGCGCCTGATGGAGGCGATCGACAGGTTGGGAGAACATCATCCCTCCCCTGTTCTTGGCATGTTTCTTTTTTTCTCTTCAGTTTTTTGGTTCTGTTCGTTATTGAGGGGGGGGGCTGCAAAAAAACAAAGACCAAAAGCAGAGATGATGCGCAACAAAGGTACCAAAAACAGGGGGACGTTTGATCAAGGCATTGAAGACACGTGGGATGCCGAAAAGGTCTGGTGTTGTGCCTACCTGGACGAGTGCCGCGCGTCTTGGAGCCTTAAAGCCATCAACGTCTTCAAATGGGTGAGGTGTCCACAAACCAATGTCTTGGCAACAGATCCAAGGTCTCTGTTTAAAGGGGGTTCCCCGCGTCCAATCAAAAGTATTATGGGACCCGGCTGTCTCAGCCGGTCTGCAAAAATAGTGTTTTTTTTTTTTTCATAGGATCTAGGTCTATGGATCGATTTATTAAAAGGGGGAAGGGATGACTATGCGAAGAGCACACATGTCCCTATCATCTACAGTATTTGTGGTTCCCCACCTCCAATTGAAAGTAATATGGCCAGAATACACATTTCCATTCTATTCTAAACTAGTTGTGGGCCAAAGGCCAATGGCCCGCCCCACGAAACGTCCCCCCCCCTCGCCCTCCTCGCTGCCTACAGGCGCCGGGTATCGGCGGAAGAGCGGCGCCGGGTGCGAGTGGGCAAGCTGGAGGAGCGCGGCTTCGTTGAGAGGGCGAGATCGGAGCCCAGTGGATCCCAACTAGGTCTTAACCAAATGGAAGGTAGCCCTCATACTGTGGCCCTTCATACCAACTACCGTGGATGGTTGCAAAATCCATTTCGCACCACCCAATCGGGTTTCTTGTGTGGTAGGTGCCCGGGGTGGTGAAGTATTCAGGGTGGTAACTGAGCCCCAGGGCCGGGGGTCGCTTTGTTTGTATTAAAACATCGAACAAGCGATGGTCCCTTCCTGATCCTTGTGGGATGGCACTTGTTCCTTTGTTTACTGGCATGTTCAATTACTTCCCCCAGCTAGGTGTCCTTTTTAACCTAACCCCTTTTGGGGGAGGGTTCCCCTACTAAAATAGACGTCCTGAACAAGTGGGTACCCTTATTCTAACCTCTCTACTGGAGGACCTAGCCAATGTGGATCCCAGGCCATGATGTTGAACTCACTTCCAAAAGCAGCCATACTGTGGATGGGACGAAATCCTGCACCGTCCACCCCTTTCCACACCTCCAACAAAGGACTATGTTGGCTCACTTCCTGAATTCATGGAGACCAAACCTTTGAGAAGACCGGTTTAGCGGCATTTAACAAGTTTGGATTTTTGTTTGGCCCATCTACTCAGGAAGTGAGTTAAGGAGCCACCTCAAAAGTGGTTGGTGGACATGAATCCCTATTTTTGGCCAGGAGACTGTCCCTCCTTCACAATCCCGGATCGGCTTTGAGAAAGTGCCTGCCAATTCAGATGCGCAGCCACTTAATCGAGGCTCAAAGTCCCGTGTAATGTTGATGCATCCATCAAGTTTAAATCATCGTTGAAACGGAAGGGGGGTTGACCATGTCAAAGCCCCAAGAGTAACCTCAAAAGACCCCTTGCTTCAATTACCCAAACGATTGGGTTTCATTGCAACTTCCTATGGCTTTTGAGCGATTGCCAAATTCAGACCCCACGCGACAGTGAAACTCACTTCCTGAGTTCCCGGACTTCAAGGCGACACAATGAAACTCACTTTCTGATTTTCCTTGAGAAGACCATTGTAGTGGGGGAAGCACAAACTTTGGTTGGTGTTCTGGCCGATCGATCGGCATCTACCTGGACCCTCAAACTACACCAATTACCTCTTTTTGAAGGTAGTTCGAGGGTCCAAGTGGCTATTTTCCGGATAGTTGTTCAAGGCTCACAGGTAAATGGAGTCACTGGGAAATGGGATGCCTTTTCGACCCGTTGATCCCCCAAATTAGATGGGGAAGTTGCTCGAAACTTTCAAACGAAGGATGTCGCGCAAATCGAAGAATTATCTTTGGAGTTGTGTTTAAGGAGAAAGCCAAAGTAACCCAAGGTCGCGGGAAGGGGGGGGGCTATCCTTCGAAAACTTGGTCGAAGTATTAATCTGGCTTGATGAAACATCAATAATGGCAGGAATTTGTTCAGGGCTCCTTAAAAGATACGTTTCGCCCATTTGAAACATGGCTTTTTCCACCAAATTAGAGGGAAACCACCATTTACAAGGCAATGTTCAGGTGTATAATGTAAGGATCCCTGTTTGGGGGCCAAAAGCCGGAATCAGGTTTTTCTAAAGAGACGGTAAGCAAATGGCAATACCCCCTTTTGCTTGCAACCTGGGCTGACGCGGTTTTGTTCTTTTGTTTGGATGGCGACCCCATAGAATTCTTCCAATTGCTTAAGAACATGTCTTATTTTCCTCTCTTGGTTTGAAAGGACATCTATCACTACTAGGTCCCCCAGTAGTGCTCTTTCACCCTTTTTTGGGGTAGGGTTCCCCTACTAAAATAGACTACAGAAAAAAGTTGGTACCCTTATTCTAACCTCTCTACTGGAGGACCTAGTAACACTGCTGGAAGTGTTGTTTTCCCATCAGGGGACTTCAGCACATGAAAGATTTTGCCGTCCAAAACGGAACTTGAGTGCTGAACCGAGCCAGCCCTCAGGCCGTACCTTCCTGACTTCGTGGACTTCAGTCACTCTCTGCGAAGACCGTTTTAGCAATATGTGTTTTTTTTGTGCCACTCCACTCAGGAAGTGAGACTTTCTTCTTCTTCAGGCAAAAACGCCCCTGACCATAGGTGTTCTTTTTGTTTGATTTGGTTGAAAAATAGAGGGCGATTCCTGGTTTACCTGGTTCAATCAACTACCAGGGAAATAAAATTTTCCCAAAAAGGACACCTACTGTGGATGGACAAAATCCTGCACCACCCAAGAAGCCCTGGAATGGTCTGATTCCCTGTAAGTACCAACAAACCGTGGTTTCCCATAGTTTCTTAGGTGGTGCGAAATGGATTTCGCAACCATCCGCAGTATGCCCCTGTCCAAATCCGAGTGCCAGGGCCTTTTTTGCCGTTTTTACCCCTGCTTCACTGTTCTTGGCATGTTTTTGTTTTTTTTTGGGGTTTTTTGGTTCTGTTCATTTTTACTGGGGTCAAAGTTTTTAGCTACCATACCAAGAGTAGAGATGCCTGGAACTTCCCTTCCCAGGAGCGGCTGCACCAAGTGAGCCTCGCGCGGCTCGCCCTCGCGGAAGGCGTGGGTTTCCGACGGAATTCGCCGCACGGGTCGTTGGTTGGTCGTGTTTGTTTTTCCTTTTTTGCTTCGGTGGGTACCCGGTGTTTGGGCCTTAAGGGAAATTCAAAGGAAAAGCCAACACAACTTTGGAGGGTCCGATTGGGAAGCAATGGGGCACCTACTTGGAGTCTGTTTGGCAGAAACCTCAAAAGCCCAAAAACCCTTGGTGGCAAGCCCAGGCATCCGGTTCCTGAGGTGGTCTGTTTGTTTTTATTTAATGTTTTTTGTTTTGTTCCTTAGGTTTCCAATAAACCACCAACAAGTAAACTTGTAGCAAGACAAAACCCAACAGAGTATGGGGCATGGACGAATTGTATTCCGGACCGTCCTACGCAGGTACACATGTGCACGCACGCACGCACACACACACACACACTTCCACACACACACCAATGCCTTCTTGGTGCACTCTGAGCTCTGCCAGAAACCTCATGTTCCTGCAGCTCCGCCGGCCACGAACGCAGATCTGCTCAGCATCTCAGATGGCAAGGATACTTTTTTAGCGCGGTGGCTATGAAGGTCAGCCCAAGCACCAGCGCAGAGAGGCACAGAGATGCATGCGCTGAAGGCCATCTTGCGAAAGTGGTGAAGTCGGGCGCTGGCTTCTTGATCAGTGGCTGTACAAGGCCTGCAACCATTGGACTCTGCTGGTCACGCTGCAGACCTGCAGACTCATTTAGATCCATACCTGTTGGACCCTGGCAGTCCTTAGGGAGTCCATCTTGACAGGGAAAGTCAAGTCGAGCGCTGGCGGATTTGGATCGATTTCCACCAAGGAGACAAGCTCAGAGCCAGCTTGCGGGTCGGCGACGCGCCTTGCCAGGTGCGGCTCGCGGCTTCATGGAGTTGCTTTTTGGTGGTCCGCATGTTATCCTGTTTGCCATGTGTGCTTTTCTTAAAGTAGGAAGTTCGCTCTTTGAAAATGGTACCCGGCTTCATTTTGGTTTCCTTTTTGAAAGCAACCAAAGGGGTCCAGTTTTTGGTAGGAGGTGGCTCCCGCTTTTGCTTCTAAAGAGGGTGCCCATTGCTCTTCATTGTAACCCCTGGTTTTACCATGATATGGCAAGGTTGGAGGGATGGCCCAACTTGTTTGACGTGCAAGTGTCCATTGCTGAAACGACAACTCTTTTTGGTTTCAAGTTTAAGAGACAAGGGGCTGATTGTTTAACTGGGAGATAAATTGCCAACAGTTCGTTTAAATCCCCGCAGGAAACCAGCCGAGGACGGGTAGTTGTTGTTTTTTCTCCGGACTATTTAACATGACTGGTCTTGGTGTGACCGAATCGCCATTTAGACTTGTTGGTTTCACAAAAGGCTTACAAAAGGTCGATCAAGAGCGCTCGTCCGGGGAGCAACCCATTTAATACTCACCCGAACCATAAAACCAGCCCTCAACAAGGCCCTTAAGCTTCGGTCCAAAACCTTTCAATAAAGGTCCCTACTTGGATGTTCAACGAGCTTAGTAAGTAGGTTATAGCCAGGGGTGCAACTGGGGCAAATGGGGTTAGTCCCCTCAGAACCCTGGTTGCAACTCGCTTACTAAGTGGTTTGAACACCCAAGTAAATCTCCCTTCAATTGAAGGTCCCTGCTGATGCTTAGGGTTCGGCTTACTCCTTGGTGGTTTGGAGCCCGGTGGTTTGGTGGTTTCCCATCTACGCTCTACAAGCTTAACCAGGGATTCAAATTTCAATCCAAACTACCAATTAGGGGGGAACCTGACTTAAATGGTGTGCATAAAAGAAACCGCATTTTCATGCCCCCACAAATTGCTTAATCAACCCCAATCCAAACCACCAAGAAGGATTATCTAAGTATCCGTGGGTTCCTGTTCCAAGTTTGCCAAAAACATCAGTCCGCCAACTACAAGAACCTGAAATCTTGGTGGTTCCCAGCCGTCCCCTTAGGTTGTCAGTTGTTTTTGGTTGGTTCAGTGGAAACAACTAGTCACTTTTAGCAGGGGATCAGAAAACAGAGAGCCTAGTTTTGCAGGAAGACCGGCAACAACCAATACCCTAAAGGCAAGGGTGCTGCAGGATAGACCCTAAGAGAATAAGAGTATACATGATGAACCCAATCCTAGGATCCAATCCAAGGATCCAATCCTGATAACCAGAAGCAAGCCCAGACCATGACAACCCTACGTCAAAGAAATCCCTTTGGTGCGCATGAACCTTCCAATCCAATCCGTGGGGATTTGCGTGCGAGGGCTGCAGGGTGCACAAGGCGCCCAACTCAGCCGCGCGCCCAGAAAAGTTTCAGGCAAAGATGAGTTCATAGCTCCAGCTCCAGCTCAGCCGCGCGCTCCAGGCAAAACAGTGGCACCAAAATGGCAGCGTGCTAAATGGAACCAAAGCCTAAAACCTGCGCTTTGCCCGTGGCTCTTGAATTTTGAGCCACAAATGATGAGATGGATCTATTTGTTCTTGTAGTTACTCTCTAACCCCTTTCATACCATCCGTATTCATCTTTCAGCTATTTCCTTCTATCAGTAACTGGTTTTCGGGAGACCGTATCATCCTCACAATCCAGGATTATGCCGTCCACACGACAGAGACAAAGAGAAGGAAGATGTGGATAGAGGACGGATAGACCTCCAGAAGTGCTTATTTGTAAGCCATTAGCCTCTGTGCGCATCCCTTCGCTCGTCCACCCTCCAACTTGCTCCTCAGGTAATTGCACCCGCTCTCCTATCTCTTTCTCATTGGAGCGGGCTGGGGAAGGGTTGACTGGCGAAGCAAAGAGCCAGGATGAACCTTCTGTAACGACAATATGCCTCCATTCCCATAGATAGAGATGTGAGCGGGGAAAAGGAATGTGTAATGCCCGCTCACCACCCATCTCTCCCTTCCATCTCCTTTTCCAATCTCCCCACGTAGGAACGGAGGGAGAGAGTGAGAGATGGAATGAGATCATGGATGACGCGACGGATTATGTTGTAATCACCGGTTAGTCGAGAGAGGTGGGGCGGAGTGCGGAAGGAATAGAATATGTCGACAAGCGAAGGCAGCTCTCTTCGTTCCCTTCCTACATGTCTGTTTCATCTCTTCCTTTCCTCTTTCTCTTTGCCGTGGAGACCCAACGGCTGAGAGAAGAGACTGGGAAAGGAACAAGAGATGACCTGAGGCCGGCAACAAGATAAGACAGAAGCCAGCCAGTGCGTTTCATCTTATTTACTTTTGTAGATAATACGGATGGACGAAATCCTGCACCGCCTAAGAAACCATGAGAAACCATTGTTGCCTGTAAAAAACCGGGGAGTTATCATTCCGTTGGGTTTCTTAGGTGGTGCGAGAAGCGGATTTCGCAACCGTCCACAGTATACTGTGTCTACCAGGTCTGTGTTTGTGTCCTTGTTGCATTTCCAAGACACCACCGGCAGGTTTAGAGAAATGGATCCTCCGTTTTGTTTTTCCGTTGCGGTTTCCGTATGTGTTAACAAGGGCGCCCAACAAGTGGATGCTGGTGGCCATGTGGGGTACGTTTAGACACCCAAGCGGTACCCACAACAAAGACACACTTAGATGCTTGCAGATGATTCCGGGCGGGGGTGGCGGTGTTTCTAGTCTGCTTGTGGTGGTGAATTGCTGTTTTGGAGGCGCCTTCCTGCAGATAGTATTCATGGATCCCCAAATTGGTTGTAGAGGACTCTCCTCTTGAGGAAAGGACCCCCTTATTGGGCAACCCATGTTCCATGTTGACCCCAGATCTAAGTAGAACCCACCCCCTTAACGGGAGGGGGTGCCCTTCCTCCCCATCAATCAACGGGTTCATTGATCCGGGTTCCCCATGATGCCTTTGTTTGCCATTCATTGGCGCTTGAAGAAGGGTATGGAGAACAGAGCGCGCGGGTTTCCCCTTGAACTGGTTGCCAAATGAGTATGGGTCATACTGGGGCCTCCAAAATGGTGGCATTCCTTCTGGTTTCAACTAGATCCAACCTTGAAAAAGGTGCCCCATAGAAAACAAACACGTGAAATTGGCCACAAATCAACGGTGGATGGATTATGCTGTTTCTTGCTCAGGGTTTATGCGTTGATCTCTATATATATATATATATATATGAGCCCCTGGTATGAACCCGGTGAAAGAACCGATAGTGGCAAAATGATGGTTCTTGTAGGGTCCCATGTTGGCAAACTGGGCTATGTGGACCTGTACAACTAGCCTTTGAAGGCAGGCCCTTTGTGGTCTTCCATTTGGTTAAGAACATTTTATTCTTCCCCTGTTGGTTTAAAAGGGAATCTATCACTACTACACTACCGGAAATATTTTTTCCCAGGGGACACAAGCAAATGGAGCTGGTGGTTGCTATGGGTTATGAAGGCCTATACACTCAGCCCCATCTGCCAGGGCGCCGCATGATGATGTTTCTGCCATGGTTCACGCATGTGCCCTTCTTCGGAGGGGGCCACTAAATGGCGCAACGGGCTTCCTTTTGGGTTCCCTTTAAAGCAACCAAAAGTTCAAAAAAAAACAACAACATGTGTTTTGCTTGCTTTTCGGGTAAACTTCGAACTTGTTCCCTTCTTTCAGTGCCCCGTGGTAAGCAAGTTTCACAGATCGCGTCCTTTTCGGGTGTGTCCCCCATATCTCTTCACGAACGATCCTGTAGGTGGGCTTTAAGATGGATCCCTCGAAGCAGTTTAGGATCTCCTCCGGAACCATTCTTCATGTTGGGGTAGGTGCTGGTGTGTCGTTTTTGGAGGGTATACCGGCATACTGAATACCTGTTTGTTGTGGCTTAAAGGAACACCAAAGTGAACACCGAACTCCATGTTGGGGGTCCGGTCCGAGTCCCCGAACAAAACGCCGAGACGACACCCCCGTTTGATGCGAACGGAAGTCGGTTCGGACCCGAAAAGTTGTGGCATGGAGAATTCGTTTGGAAGGCTTGGGTGTGTCGAATAAAATTGGGAACGGGACGTGCGTGACGTGAAGGACGTGAAAGACATGGCTGCGGCGCCCAAAGGTAAATACTTTAAACATTTGGTGTACCCCAAGAAGGCTTGGCTTCCATTTGGTATCTCAGTAGCCAACGTTGTTCCCTCAAAAAGAGACACCCTGATTGGTATCGAATCTGAAGATTTCGTGTTCCGTGCCGCTGTAGGCCAAGGTTTCTGGAGGGTCAAAGTCAGAAGGGGTTCTCCTTCGACCTGGAAACCTCAAACTGGGGAAGTCATCCCCGGGTTCATGGACTCTAGTTGCCTTTCGGGTTTGGAGCTTGAGGCCAGAAAGCCACAAATCGATTTGGCGAGTTCTTTTGGCCCACTCGATCTGAAGCGAGGACGTCATCCCTGCAAACCCGCCTCTGAGGTTGCCTGTTCCAGCCGGGCGCCCCAGGGGAGTGCGCGCGCAGCTTGGCAGGCGCGTGGACCCATGGAGCGGCTCGGAGAAGCAGTTGGACTCCGATCCCTCCATGCCAGCGGTGTCTCGGTGCCTGGAACCAAAAGCGCCAGGCGTGTAGGTCGAGAAGAAAAAAAAAGAAGAAGACAAAAGAAGAAGAAGAAGAAAAAGCGGCAGGAGCGGCAGGAGCGGCAGGAGCAGCAGGTCTCCGGTCTCCGGGCTGCGATGCTCCGCGATACGAAGCGGAGCGGCCGAGCGATGCAGCGGCGATGCACAGCGGCCTATGGAGGGCCTGCGGCCTATCCGCAGGGTGCTCTCCCCATGAATCCTTTGGTGCATTTTGACAAGGGATGGGTCTGGACTTGAACACTGTTGGCCAACAAATTGGGGTTTTCCGTGTTAAACCACTAACAGTTAAAAAGTTTTAGCAGGGGAGCAGAAAGCAACCGAGAATCAGTCACCCGAGAGGTTTGCTGCTTCCGTTTGCTGAAGAGTAGTTTTTATGTTCTCTCCGGTCTCAAGGGAAATCTATCATCGGAGATATGTGCATTTTTGTGCATTGGACTTCTCAGCAAGTGGACGATATTTTTCTGGCAGCCAAAACGGGTACAACTCTACAACTTCACCTGCTTTGTTCTGGTTTTCCTTTTGAGTTTCAAGGACCAGCGGAAATTGAGAAGTCGCAGCTGGTTTCCGGCAACTCTCCTTGGGCCTGAACCGTGCCGCCAGCAAAGCCGCCACTTCGCATGGCACGAGTGCCATGCAACAGTCATTTGCGTTCATGGTGGAGCATATTTTGGTGGTGTCACTTTTTTGAGGCTCCCCCCTCCCCCAAAGTAATTCGTGTTTTTTTGGTTGGGTGAACCGCAACAAGGTACCGATGATGGTTTTCGGGCTGCGTTCTCACGGACACGTTAGTCACTTTTTGATTCGGACTGGACGCAAAAAGTTCAGAGGTATTTTTAGCCCTCAGGTAGTGGATCCGACGCCGCTGCAGGTGTCGGCCCACAAGGCCGTAAAACGCCTCATCCTAGCCACTCAGGAAGCGAGTAGTCCTTGGGCGAAAAAAACTTTGAGACACAGACCAGCGGCCAGCGCTGTGGGGCCATCACTCGGCTTGGTCATTTGTTCTTGGGGCGCTTATTCCACAGCAAGTCATTGGGATAGATTCGTTGGCAAATCTGGGTCCTCACGGTGTTTTGGTCATTTAAGTTCATGGCTTTTTTTTGTTTATTTTGGTTTTTGTTTTTTTGTGGTTCTGTGCATTTTTTGCTGGGGGGCTGCAAAAAGACAAAGTTTGTTGCTACCAGATAAACCCCCACTCTTTTCCTAAGCAGCTTCATCATCCAAATTGGGTTTTCAATAGGGTTTGAACCCTCGGGATGAGGTGGCAGGCATAATTCGGAACGGGCCAAGGGCTAACATTTGGCAACATCCGAGAAATGGCTCTGACAGCCTTTTGTTTGTGGGAAGGGTAACATTTTCCATGCTCGGTATGATGTTGGGGTGATTTCACTGGGAATCCAGCCATTTTGGAGAGGGATATGATGGCGACTCACTCATTGAATCAAACCTATGTTTGGCTTGGCAATTTTTTGTGCGGTGAGGTCCGTAGCGCTTTGAAGTTTCGGGAAGCAGGTGAAACCAAGACCAAGCAGGAACTTTCGGATCTTTTGGCTGAACAAGGGAACTTTCTGGATACCTTCACGAGCGTCTGATCCTATGGTTGCTCAGAGTGCCCCCCCCCTCCACAACATCCTGCCCAAGGTCTCATATTTCCTTGACGGGTGCTACTAGCAAGCATTCGGAAACAACTCGCAAAGCATGTGGACCTCGCTAACCACGAAGCTGCATGGTCTTTCTCTCGCATTCTCCATTTGCTGAACTGAGTATGTTTTATGAACCCCTGTTGCTTTTGAAGGGAATCGATTTCACTACTGCACATTTTCTCATTTTTCCAGGGGGAAAAAACAAATGGAGGGTTGTTGGGTCCCAGTTTGGTCAGTTTGCCAGGCGAGTCTTTCTCTCGGATTCTCCCATTTGCTGAAAGAAGTACGTTTTTGTTATCCCCTGTTGGTTTTAAAGGGAATCGATTTCACTGGACATGTGATTTTTCCAGGGGACTTCTCAGATGGGATTGGGGGTTGGAGCAGCGATGCCGAGGCAGCAGGTCTTGCTGCTTTGGCACAACGCGGCTCGTGACCAGAAGGAGGACCATGGGGTCGACGCCCGGTGCGTTTCAAGGTCTTTCCAAGCAAAAAACTCAGTGGTTCAGTGGCACCAATTGTTTTTTTTCAACTTTTTTTTGGTGGCTGCCCCCCGAGAAAATTGTCCAAGCCCCAAAAAGGGTTCCAAAATTTTTTTCCAGGGTCACTGAACACCTGAGAAAATAGCGGGGGTTATTCTTGGTGCCAAGTATGTGACGCAATTGTCCAAGACAACGTTTCGCTTAAGTAAAGCTTGTCAACCATGTCAGGTCTTCAGGGATTTGTTTTTGGCTAATTCATTTGTTGATCATGTTGACACATCTGGATGCAGCTGTTGTTCTTGTCTTCCTCGGTCTGGCACAGAATGCCCAAACACGGGGTTCTATTAGACTATGCACATGGGTGTGGCTCAAACAGGAGGGGTTGCGCAGTTTTTAGTCCATGTTTCCACTCACCAGGGTTCCATTTTGGTACAGGTTTTTTGAGCCACAGCCACATGAGAGCACTTGAATGCTGTGATTATTGACCCAGGACAAGACATGTGTTGATGGGCAGGCGAATTGTTATTTTTCATGCGCAGAACGTGAAGACTCAACGGCGCACTGAGACTGCATAGCCTCGTTTAAACATATGTGATGTGGCATGCGACGAAGAAACCAGGTGCAGGGCTCTCTACAGAACAATTGACCACAGACCCAGCAAACACCAGGATCCTTTTTTTTCCTGTAGGATTTCCTGTTTTCCGGCAGATTTCTTGGAATTCGATGATGCACACGTCTCTATTCATCCACCTTTGGTGCTTTGCCATTGTCTCGCAAACCGGTTGGAGACTCACACGAGTTTCTGGACTTCGGTCGGTTCGTAGAAGTGCCAGTGCCTGGACCCTCAAACTACCCGTAAAAATGGGTTATTGCTCCGAATTCTGGCGGGGGTACTCCTGCGTTTCTGGACTCAGTCGCATGTTTGGTTTAGCCCATTTTGCCAAACCCGGATCCCGCTTGCGAAGTTCCATTTTGGATGGGAGGGTAAATCTGATGCAAAGTAAGGCCCCTTCGGGGGTGAGCTCGTTTGCCTTAAGCAGGGGTCTCCTACTAGGTCCCCCAGTAGTGCCCTTGTACCCTTTTTTGGGGGAGGGTTCCCCTGCTAAAATCGACTACAGAAGAAAGAGTACCCTTATTCTAACCCACTGGAGGACCTAGCCTAAATACATCTGTGTCTTTTGTTGATGGTACCCCTTTCTTTAGAGGAAAACCAGGTTGAACGCCGAAATCCAGTTTGAGACCTCTAAAAAAGACAGTCCCATTTGTGTGATCCCTTTTTTCGCAGGCCCGTGGGTGGCCGAATTTAAAGGGAACGCTCTCCAAAGGAAACAGGCAAAGGGAAGCGAAATACATCACCCCACCCTAACTACTGTGGGTGGACGATATCCTGCAGCACCCTTCAGAAACCCTGAAATGAATGATAGGTCCCCTGTAGATACCTTTTTTTTTTTACTAATCGTTTCAACCCATGGTTTCCAGATGGTGCGAGACTCGCGGATTTCGCATGGTTGTCGTTGGGAAACAGTTAAACCATGTTTGCTTATTGTGGTTTAGTGCTTGAAATCCAACCACTTACCTGCTCTTTTTTGTTTGGCTCCCCAAACCCAACGTCAGCCAAGTTCGCATCCACGGTAATGTTGACCCAGGATTAATAAACCCCTCCCATTATTAGGGGGGTGTTCCCTCCAAAAGTGGTCTGAATCCAACCACTAAAAGGAATTGGCCACCCCCCGATCAAACTCAACCAGGGGTTCTGCTTAATCCAGGCTTAACATTATGACACGGGATGCTCCCCTTGCCAAGTTCCTGGGGCCAAAGAGTACCGTCGCAGGGGAGGCGTCAGCAGAAGCGGCAGCAGCTGGCAGCGTCCTTGGTGGATGGCTCGCCGGGAGCCTGAGGCGCCAGCCATCCGGTTCCTTAGGATTCAAAGAAGGATGGTTGAAGGCGGAGAAAGGGATCAAAGCTCTAGCTTCACCGTTCTTGGCATGTCTTTTGGTTCTGTTCATGTTTACAAACAAACAAAGTTTTGAGCTACCATACCAAGAGTAGAGATGCTAGAATATTTGCGATATTTGCTGGTTAGCCATCCGGCTTTTTGGTTTCTAGCTGTTTCTGGGTGATTTAGTGGTAGTTTCCATGTAGCCCACTGAGAGTTGCACTTTTGGAAGGGGATGTGAGGAGATCCCAGAAAAGCCAAACCTCTTGATGTTCACCCCGGATGTAATACCTTTGCTATTAATATTGTGGGTGTTCCCTCCAAAAGTGGTCTGACTCACCACTCAACGGGGGTGTCGCCCTGATCAAAATCAACCAGGGGTTTATTTGCCGATGGGTTGAGCTGATTGTTTCTCACTATGGGGCTTTTTTCAAGAGGAGACTGATCTTCCGGGTACCCTCTCACTGGTGCTACTGTGGATGGACTAAATCCTGCACCACCTAAGAAGCCATGAACAAAAACACAGCTTGTTGGTGATTACAGGGGAATCGTCATTCCAGGGTTTCGCAGGTGGTGCAGGATTTCGTCCATCCCCAGTATGTTTGTCGAAGGACTTCAGTAACTTGTTGGGTTTGGACTCATCGTCTTAGCGGCAAACAAAGAAATGGGACTTGTTCGACCAAGCCACCCAGGACGTGAGTTAAACATGCAATTTGATTGACTATAGTCAACATGATCATGAACCTGTCAAGCTTTAGGATGCTGATATGGGTTGAGTCTTCTTACTGCCTGAGTTCCTGGACTGTAGGCACTTTTTTAGGTTTGGATCATTTTAGTGGTTTAAACAAATTGTGGGTACATTTTTTGGGGCCATGCACTCGATCGGCAGATGTCGGAAGTGTTTTGGCTGAAGGTTCTGCCCAGGATGGCTCTTTTGCTCGTGGACATGTGGCCATGGGAAACGCATAACCTTTGGCTCGAGCCATTTTGGGGTGGATGAGCATCCCTTTGCCAGCTATTTTGGGGTACAGGGTTTTGACCCACAGCCACGTTTTTACTTGGTTGAGTGGTACTTTGCGAGTTTTAGCCACCCATTTTGATGTTCACCCGTGCAGGGTGTTGACCCACAACCATGTTGAGGCGCTTCGCACTTCTCGGATCCCAGCCACACAGGTCAAGCGAGACGTGGTCTCTTAGCTTTTCAGTTGGTACCTCTGGTGGTTTTCTACGGCGAAGCCAAATAATCAGAATTTGTTAGGCTCCGATTCCTAAAAAGAAGGCAGCCATATCCCACTCCACGAAGCAGGAAGTCCGGGACATGTGTTTTAAGCACGTGTGGTCTACCCGCATTTCGGGACACACGTTTTAGCGACTAAACAGTTCGGACTTGCTGCGGCGCATTGACAGTGGTTTGGGTGGCCAAACCACAAGGTTACCCGGAGTCTCCCTAAGGACCCTTTGGTCATTACCCTAAATAAAGGGGTTATGGATCCATTTTTCAAGGGTCATGGAGACTCCAGGTAGACAAACTTGGGCTTGGCTCATACTGTGGATGGTTGCGAAATCCAGTTCGCACCTCAGAAACCCACGGGAATGAGTTGCTTCCCCTGCAAATACCGTAGCAAACCTTATGGTTTCAACATGGTTTCTTATGGTGCGAGAAGCGGATTTCGCAACCACTGTATTGTGTCCCTTAGCCGAGGAGCATCCTTCTAAACCCTTCCCGGCACCCTCTTTGGCAGCTTGTCTGTTTTTGTTGGTTCGGTCGAACCTGCCGGTATTCGGCCGTATTTGCCCATGAATGACGGCTGTTTTGTTTTTCCTCTTCTTCTTTTTCCTCGGTCGTTTGCCCATGCGAATCGCGTTTGAAACCTTGTGTTTCTCAGCAATTTGTTTAACAACAAATCCCTGGGGTTCACTTACCACCATTCCATCAAAGGGGGTTATACAACCATCACATACCGTTCAGGAATTTCATCATCCAACTTGGGTCCCAAGTTGCCATTCTTTTAATGGGGGCAAGGAACCCTAGCACAGGGCAACCAACTAGCAGGGATACAGGGGAACCAAGGATACGGGAGGATTCCCCCTAAATGCACCTTGGCTAAATCCCCCCATATCCCCGCTCCCTCCGTATCCCCGCTTGTTTGTTTGTCCAACCTAAGGACATGTTTCCACACGCCATTCTTTTCAACCATCGTTTTTTTTCAAAGACCAGCCGTTTCCCCTGTGTTTTTGATGGTTTCCTGAAAAGAAGGATCCCTGGAAAGAACGGAATTGGAAGGTAGCTCGACCCTTTCGCGCCGAGGTCCCGGCTGGGCCAAAGCATCCTGGTAAGCCAAGTGCCGCACGCCCAAGCGATCCGACATCCGGGTCTATCTCTTTTTGTGAGTTGGTGCAGCCTTTTGCTTTGGCTTATGACACCGAAAGGAAATGCATCTTTTGTGTGTTTGGTTTGTGGTTGTTTAAGCAAAACCAAAAGGAGCATCGCTGGTGTGTTTTGTTTTTGTTTGGTTTTTTAACGACGGGGTCTAAGAAAAGACGCCCATTACAAACAAATGGGGGCCGGCCCAATCCAGCCAACTCAAATATTGCCCGTGGCAACTCGTGACATTTTTTTTCGTTTTTTAAGTTTAACAGGGCTCCTTAAGAGATACATGTTGCAACCATTTGAAACATGGCTTTTTCCACCAACAAAAAAAGGAATCCACCATTTACAAGGCAATGTTCAGGTGTACAATGTAAGGATCCCTGTTTAACTGGGCAAGCCTATGTCCTCGGAAATCCTCAATTAATATTCTGGGGTCGGGTGACATGTTAGCTCTTTTTTTTTTCAAATGGGCAAGCCTACACGTCCTCAGAAAATACCTATTTATATTCTGGGGTTAATTAATACGAAGTCAACGTTAGAGTCCTACGGGAAGGTTAGAATGAATGCGGCTGGAGGCCCACTTGCCGTCAAGAGTACTTAAGCGGACGGCCACACATGTTGGGGTGAGCAAGGGAAACCGGCCGGTTGTTGGAAAGAACGATGGTCGAAACGAATGGACAAGGAATCAACCCCATTCGAATGCTGGGGTATTTGAAACGTCTGTGGGCTCACTCCTCCAGTTCCCGAACTTTGTATACTTCTCGCGCAAGCAAAATCCCGACTTGCTGTGGCACGCCCATTCGGGAGTGAGCTCCCGACTTCAAGACATGCATTTGGCATTTGCACGTCAGCGTTCGGGATTGTCCTTGAAGTACAGGACCCCACCCCAAAAAAAGACAAACCAGCGGCCTGCCGTAGATTGCCCTTTAAAGGCCCAAGGGCGTTTCTAAGAGACACGCCCAACTTTAAGAGACACACCCAACATCACCCCGTTCTTTTGTTTACTTTGGGGCATTTTGCCAAGGGATGTTCGGACTCTAACTTTTTGCCAACTCATGGGTTTTCCGTATTAAACCACTAAAAGTTATTCACTTTTCGAGGGGCAGCAGATTTCGCAACCAAAGGAGTTTGCAAGACCCCCATATTTCATCCTCTTTTTTTGGTTGGTCTTGTTTTTTTTCTCCGGGCCCAAGCTCCGCGTCTCCGAGACTCCAGCTCAGCGTCTCTGTGGTCTGTCCCATCGCACCTCGCCATGGCGCGGCCCGCTTTCGTCGCCGTCGCCTTCTTCGCGGCGATCTGTGGCGCCGATCGCATCGGAAAGGCCGAGGGCGAGGTGCAGCAACCAGGCAGAGAGTTGCCGGGGTATGATTTCCAGTTGCTGAAACGGTTAAAACAAAATAAAATAAACATAAAATCCCTTGTTGGGTTTAAAAGGAGTTTTTTTATCGCTACTGGAGATATGTTCTTGTATTTTTTCCAGGGGTCTTAACCAAATGGAAGATTAATGAAATCTTCTGAAAATCGGGGACCCTTTTTAGGTGGCTGCCAGCCATCCGATTCCTTAGTTGTTTAGACTCTTGGTGTTTAGTGGGGGTTTCCATTTGACCCGCTAAAAAGTTGTTCACTTTTAGCAGGGGATCTGAAAACGCGCAGCCCAGAAAATGGGGGACCCCTGTTTGGGCTGGTTGCCTTTTGTTTTTTTTTAAACCCACCCAAGGGGTCCCCTCCATTCCAAGAAACCGGCAGCGCTCGGTTAGGAGTTGATCTTGCTGGTGCTCAGTGGGTGAATACTGGGCCCGGGTGTTGTTGGAATGAATCGTTGGGGAATTCCCGAAGAAAGTTGAAACCATAAGTTGGATCGTTGGGGTCATTTTCCTTTGAGAGGGGTACGCTGTGGGCCTTTGTGTTTTCCATATGAAATGGTTGTTTTTGCAGACGTGCAAACAGGTTACTTCAAGCCAAACCAACTGACTCAACACCAATCCATACCTCAACAACTCCAAACATGTTAAAGAGTATAGCCTTGATGTGACTTAGCTTGGGTGCAGAAACCCAGGGCACAGCGTACCCTTCTGTTTCCTTTTCAGGGTTTAGCTGGTGTACTTGCAGCCAGGTTTCCTGTCTTTTGTTAATGGAGCAACCCCTGACCCGAGAAACGCCACTCCGAAAACCCACCAGGGAAGCTGATATATGGGTTCGAAGGGGTTTTGGACCCTTGTTGACGTGAGCCACAATCAAAACCTGGGTAGATGAAGGTTAGTAAGGGGCAGTCCCAGCCGGAAATAGTTCTTCCACTTTGCATAAGAATATGGAAAGTCAGTGTCCTTCTTTTCTTTTTTTCTTTTTACCCCTGTTGGTTTCAAAGCGAATCGATTTTACTACTGGAATTGTTGTTTTATTTTTTTTCCAGGGGACTTAAGCAAATGGAGGCATATGTGTGATTTGTCTTCTGTTGGTTTTAAAGGGGGATCTATCACTACCAGATGTTAGGTCCCTTTCTCACCCACTTTTTAGGTTGGGAGGGTTGCCCTAAAATAGACGTCCTGAACAGAGTGGGTACCCTTATCTAATCTCTCTACTGGAGGATCTTCTGATGCTGTTTTTTTTCTCCAGGTTGCCAAAGCAAATGGAGTTCACTGGGCATGAACCAGAATTTCAACAGAGATGTTTCCCGCTGAAGACTTAGCTGGTTTAGATTCTTCCATTTGTTTAAGAATAAAGGAACGTATCACTACTGGATTTTCTTTTTTTTCAGGGGTCTTAACCAAATGGAAAGATCCGTTTGGATTTGGATCTTGTTTCCTGGTTATACGATAGATCTGCAACACCATCAGCTTGCCAATCCGCTCCATATGGGTCTCTCTTTTTTGTTACCCTTTCTGGGGTTGGTCTAAAGGAAAACAGGTTTTCTATCCATTTTGGGGTGTCCGGTCTCCGACAAGTTTCCCACAGCTTACTTCATGGTTTCATAAGTCATTTTACGGCTCAGAGGCCAGTCTAAAGCTCCCTTAGCGGTTCATGGACTTTAGTCACTTTGGGTTTGAACCATTTCTGTGGTTAAACAAAAAGTCCACCTGGACCCTCAACATTCCCTAAAAAATGGGCTAGAGCCCCAACGTTATGGGGGTGAAATCCCTTCTGTAGTTTGAGGGTCCAGGCAGACTTTTGTTTGACCAGCCCACGCAGGAAGTGAGTTTCCCTCAAACGGGAAAGTGCAAGTCTAGCATTTTTTTTTCGGGCGCCTGGTTGTTCTGGGTAATGCTTCAAAACGCTCTGGTCGTCCTCAATTCAGCAAACCATGGGCATGCCGTCCTTCTTTCTTTTTTGACCTCTGGTTTCCCTGCTTGTGGGCACGAAAAGGTTGAACTTTTGTCAAGGGCAGGTCCCTGGGCTGAGGTTTGCAATCCCGCCGGAAAGAGCGGCAATCCACGTTGCACCGCACGAATGCTGCGCATGGTTAACGCAATTCAATGAAACGCAGGTGACAGTGCACCACTATGAAACCGTGGGAACCCATTGTGGGTTGGCATTTACAGGGGATCCGTCGTTCCAGCGGTGGAACGAAGTGTATTGATCAACGCCCGTGTCGGCACAACACGCAGCCAGCTTACACCTGGGCGATGCACGCGTCTGAGGTACTGGTCCGTGCAGCTCGACCCCGACTCTTCCGAGAGCCTTTCGCGGCATTGGCGAGCTTCTGCGGGCTACACTGCTGCAAATGCATCTGGGATTGCCATGAAGGACCGGTTGCATGGGCCTGGCCAACCTACGCGAAGCTTTGCCAGGGGTTGGTTGGCGGAAGTCTTACACTAGGTCGCGCATCCTACACACTGGGTGCAAGGAAGCAAGGGCCCACTATTGAGGCTGAACGCGTTGCCTACAGTTTAGAAAAGTTTAAGGGCTGGGTGTTGGTTGGAGCGAGGTGGCCGGGCATTGATGCGCACCAGCGCAATCTCGCGCACCAGCGTAATCTCGCGCGAGAACGTCAGAAGTTGCAGGGGGGGACGCAGTGGTGCCATGCGGTGAAAGCCAGAGTTGTGCGCATGCTTCACGTCTTCACATCAAAACAAGGTCCCGAGTTCAAGGTGATTTGCCGGGCCCTGATTTTGATGAAACTTTGTTTTTTGCCGGTCCACACCTCAAGAGTGAATGTGGAGGAGCCACAATCGCAGGCTTTGCTGGTTTTGGTTTGGCGTAACTCGAATTTAGAATTGGCCAGGTGTTGAGAACAGAACAGCCACGTGAAACACAAAGTGCGCTGCCATCTCAGCAGCTTGCCATGCAACGGGGAACAACGGTTGGTAGACAAGGACCCCCATCTGACGCCCAAGTGAAGAACTTCCATAAAAAGGGGACAAGACCACACAATTGTTCAGGTGTGACGCATCATCACTTGCAACAATCAGGGCATAGACCCTGACCTGAGCATAACCGCATAAAGGTATGCGTTGACCTATACTTTTGGGATTTTAGCGTCTCACCTGAGCTTGCACCCACTCCCACGAGCTGTTGTCTTGTCATGTGGGCAATCCTGGGTCTCTTTTGATATTCCTATTGTGCATCTTCAGGTGTGGTTTGGATTGGTGGTTTGCGACTTTGAACCCTTGGTGGTTGTAGAGGTTGGGAAGCCAATCCCCAACCACCAAACCACCGGGTTCCAAACTCCAAACTACCATTTTGTCACTGTTCGTGGCAAGTTGTTTGGTTTTCAGTTTAGCAGGGGCTGCAAAAAATACAATGTTTATTTTCTTTTTGCGAAGAATTAGACGGAAGTTGACATCTGGCAGGACGAGTATCACACGACTCTGCTCTACATCGGGCATTTCTCGGACCAACAGCGCCCCGCGCGCGTTTTGTGTTGGTCCATTTGTACTGGGAGAGGTGTTCTGCTGTGGATGGACAAAATCCGTTTCACACCACTGAGAAGCCATGGGAAAGCATAATGTTGTTGGTATTGACAGGGACATCATCATTCTAGGGTTTCTAAGGTGGTGCAGGATTTCGTCCATCTACAGTATTTGTACCAGTTGGTTTGTCAGGGTTGTTGTCGGATGCCAAATCGCCGCCTAACTTGAAAGCTTGTCACAGGAGAACCTACAAGGGATGGATAATTACGTGTTGGTTGGTCCGAGCCTCATTTAATGAAACAACTTTATGCTTTAAAGGTGTCATCATGCTGGCACGCACCTGGGGGGTCAAACTATTTTCAGGGAAACCATATTGTAGCGGATCGTCAAACGAAACCTAAACAGGAACCATATTCAGGTTGCTTTGAAGGCCTAGTAGCTGCGGATATGAGCCACCTCCTAAGTAGGGTGTCCTTCACGTGGAGGGCGCTTTTTTGCCTGGTCCACGTGTAGTCTAGGTGCTCTTTTGGCTAACACCAAAGGCAGCAGACCTTCAAAAAGCGACGCACCGTGATAGGGAACCACATTGACGGTCCAAGAAGTAGATTCAAACCACAGTGACAAGGAAAGCAAGCCCCTGCTTCCCTGATAGAGTAAAGTCTATACAAAATATCAGGTGGCCTGAGTGCACTCATGGTGTTGCCTAACTCACTTGCAACCAAAGCGATTCGACTTTGTGACCTTTTGGGTTTTGCCGTGGTCCATGTTGAGACATGGCCCCGAAAAGTTCCGAACTCCTGGCCCAAACTCGGCTGAGCTAAACAAATCTTTTCGGTGTGTCCAGTTCTGGGGCCCCTTGCATTCTTATCCAGAGGTCTCCGATGTGAACTGGGTTCCCAATTACATAAGATATTTCTCCCTATTTGGGTGTGTCGTGTGCTAGGGATCGGCGGGGCCCCAACACGGCATTCGGTGATCCTTTTGGTGTCCCTTTAAAAACAACAAACAACAGTCAGCGAGCAAGCCACGCATCTAGCCGCTTGGAAAACGGGGATGTTAAACATCCAAGGGTGTGTGTGTGCCTTTGTGGGTGTCTCACCTTTTGTGAGTTGCTTTCACTGGAATCCAAAAAAAACCACCCACTGTGGTGTTCCATACTTGGCTTGGAGATAAACTCGTACTCTCCCATTTTCTTTTGGGCACAGTGGTTCGGGCGAAGAGGGTGTATTTTTTTCTTTTATACACATTACTACTTACATTTGCACATGCCCGCCTGCCTACTTACCTACCCGCCCACCCACCTACCTGCCTACCTCGTTACCCACCCACCTACCTGCCTACCTAGTTACCCACCCACCTACCTGCCTACCTAGTTACCTACCTACCTACCTACCTACCTGCCTACACAAGTGCGCACCCCCGCACCCCCGCCCACCCTTCCTCGTCCCTCCCTCCTCCCTTTCTCCTTCCCTTTCTTTTTTCTCATACACATGTGTGCAGATACGCAAACACGCACCTGCCTGCATGCCTGCCTGCTTACCCACCTACACACCTACTGCACACATACACACCTACCTACTTGCGTAATTACACACCACCTATCTTCGCACCTGCACGGCTACGCATACACACTACCGACCCACCCACCCATCCATCTACAAGCTCGAAGTCACGCCATACACACCCACCTGCGTAGAAGTCGCGCCACCTACCTACCTACATACCACACCACACACCCACCCATCCACACCATACATCCACACCTACACGCATACACCCGCCTACCTGCACACCTACACACCTGCGCACCCACCCGCCATAATTACAGACCCACCCACCTACCAACCTACCAACGTACCAACCTACCAACCTGGAAGTCACACCTACCCACATACCTCACCACACCACACAGACGAATCGCTCATGGTTCAGAAAAGTCTATGTCATATAATATATATGGGTTTGTCCTTTTTTGGTGTGTTGAGTTGCTTCAAAAGGCAGAAGGTGGGACCTCCCCGAATCATACCCCCGAATCATACCCCGAATCATGCCCCCGAATCATACCCTTTAAAACGTATGCTGCAAGATGCTACTGTTCTTCTACCGTTTTGTGTTGTTCACTGTCTCCACAACAACCACCACCAGCGCTACCCAATACTACCACTGCCACTGCCACTACTACTACTACTACTACTACTACTACTACTCCAATTACTACTACTACGACTACTGCTACTACCACTACTACTACTACTACTACTACTACTACTACTACTGCTACTGCTACTACCGCTACTACCGCGACTACGAGTATTACTACCACTACCACCGCTACTACCGCTGCTACTACTACTCTACTGCTTCCACTTCTGCTTCTGCTACCCTTACTACTAACTACTAGGACTACAACCTTGACTACTACTACTACTACTACTATACTACTACTACTACTACTGCTACTACGACTACAACCTTGACTACTACTACTACTACTACTACTACTACTACTACTACTACTACTTCTACTTCTACTACTACTATTCCTGCTTCTGCTGCTGCTGCTACTACTCACTACTACCACATACATCATTCTGAGTCTGTAATCAGTGCCGTTTTGCACCTAGCCGAATCATACCCGCGAATCATACCCGAATCATACCCGGACAATGAGCTTCCCCTGCCAAGGCTAGTGCTAAGTCTTTTTCACCGCGTCCGCACCACTACAGCCGCTGCTGCTTATGCTACAGCTGCTACCACTACTTCTGTAACTGCTACTACTACTACCACCACTACTACTGCTACTACTACTACTACTACTTCTACTACTACTACCACAGCTACTACGAGTTTGTAATCAGTGCCGTTTTGCGCCTGGCCGAATCACACCCGCGAATCATACCCGAATCATACCCGCGCAATGAACTTGCCTTGCCAAGGCCAGCGCCAAGTCTTTTCAAAGCTTCCGCGCCACTACAGTCGCGGCTTCTACTGTTACTACTACTACTACTACTACTACTACTACTACTACTACTACTACTACTACTACTACTACTACTACTACTATTGTTACTACTACAATATTACTACTAGTACTACTACTTCGGCGACTACTACTACTACTACTATTACTACTACTACTACTACTGCTACTACTGCTGCTGCTGCTGCTGCTGCTTCCGCGAATCATACCCCCGAATCATACCCCGAATCATACCCGCGAATCATACCTGCGAATCATACCCCGTACTCAAACCTTCCTGCCCGGCCACCCTAAAAAAATACAAACCCATATATATATATATATATATGTTATAGACAACTTGCAAGGGTAAATCACATACAAATTTATCTACACATCATTCTATCTATTTACATTTACACATGCCTACCCATCCATCCACGTCCACACCTACACCCACCCCACCCCACCCCCAGCTGCGCTGAGGATCGCCGCGGCCAACGACAAGCTGCCCTCCGCCGCTGCGGCGGCGAAGCTGCGGGCAGCGCTCCTGGCGCGCGAGGGAACGCAGCTGCCGCTCGGAATTTCCCGTCCGCGGAGGGATCCTCCGTCGCCGGGGTGGTGTCGAAATCCGCGAGCCTCGAAAACCTCTTAAGGGGTATATACCCTTTGGGGGACAGGGGTGTGAACATGAGCAGGCCTTTTGGGTTCATTTGCTCAAGGGGTAAAAGGGTACTAGGTCCCCCAGCTAGGTGCCCTTTCTCTCTAACTTTTTGGGGGAACCTTCTAAAATAGACTACAGAAAAAAAAGTTCGTACCAACTTATTCTAAGCTCTCTACTGGAGGACCTAGAATTTGAAATCATGGGAAATTCTAAAATGACCCTTGATGCTTATTTGAAGGGGGAAACGGACAAATCCAGGGTGTCATTTGGGAGGTTGATGCGTATGGCTGTGGGTCAAAAGTAGGTACCCCAAATGCGGTCCCTTTGATTTTGACCCACGGCCATATGGGTTTCGGGTAGTATTTTTTGTCACTCGTTGGTCTTTTTTGGGTCGGCTACTCTTTGGGTTAGCCCAAGAAAGCTCACCCCCTTTTGAGGCTTGGTTTGAGGGGCCAACTGTTTCGCTTTTGGTTTCACCCTTCCTACCTATTTTTGGTAGCACCCCTTCGCCTTCTTTCAAAAAAACACGTTGTCTTCCAAAAAGGGAAACCAGCTTGGTAGAGAGGGACCCTTGATGAAACCCTCTGGAGAGTTAAACAAAGCAGGTTCTAGAATAGACCTCCCCCGCTCGGGTGAATCTCCAAATCAGAAGCGGGGGCTAGATCGGAAGGTCTTAGATCAGGAGGTTTGAGGAAACTCTAGATTGCTCATTGAGGAAACCCCAGATTGCAAAAAAAAGAGTCTGATTCGTTGTTTTGCTTATGTTTGATTATCTTTCATTATGGTTGATTCTGTTTGTTGTAATGTTCATGATAAACTCGCTTTGTTGTTTGAACGCAACACATGTTGTTGAAAGCAGGCAAGGTGTTTTTTTCAGACAAATGGGGGGAGGCCTCAAAACGATATGATGGCATTGTTATTTTTTTATTTTTTTTATGGTTTAATCAGGTTTTTCTGGATTGGCACTGAGTGTGACTGTGACTGTGGCGGCAATATTCAAAAGAATTAGGTGGAAGTCCAAACAAATACTAAACGAGCACTCAACAGACAAACTAAATGCATTGGGCTTCGGTGGCCGGACTTGCTCAAAACGTCACAAATTTGCCCAGGTTTACTCAAATGTGCTTAAATTGTCTCCTTGTTTCTCGAATTTGCTCAAATTTGCACAGATGTTCTCAAAGTTGCTCAAAGTCGCTGAAATGTTCAGAACAATATGGAAGCCTAGATGGCTCGTCCCGTGTCAGAAGAATTGCCAATGCCTCCCCAACTAGCTTCGGATCCAGGGAAGTCACGCAGGCCTCCCCACAAGTCAGGCTACACCATGGAACCGGCAGATCTTACACGACCAGATTTAAGCCAATCAACAACATCATCGTATTGGCCTCCTCAAAAATCACCATGTCATGAATTTGCACACTGCATTTGTTTGTTTACATCTTTGTATTTTGAACGCATTCTTTGCAGAGAACTGTTTTTTTGAGCTGTCTGGGGCTCGGAGCCCTAGTGATCTAAACCCCTCAGTGATGTACCCACGTTGTTGGAAGTTAGCGAGAACAACAAAACAGGTCCCGATTTCATGGCGCAAAACAGCCCTCTGAACACATCGCGCCAAGGAAGCTGGAGGTGTCCCGTTTTGTGTGGGAGGAGCTCCGGCGAAGCGAATGGGCGCATGGGCCCGGAGCTCCCTTCGGAGGGCTGTGTCTCAAGGGCCCTCAACATGGGACTGGACTGTTCCCCTTTTAAACCCTCCAAAGTGTACCCAAGAAACGCCGCCCATTTTCGCGGGCTTGGCAAAACAAGCTGGCTTCTTGTTTGATAAGGAAGATATGAACAGAATTCGCGCCAAAAACTCCCCTCGCAGGGAAGGGCCAGTTCATCCGGGAGGTTTTGTACGGAATTTGCACGGGGGGAAAGATAAAGACGATTCAATCGTCGCTTTCTGCATGCCCGGCCCGCAAATTAAGGATGGTGAGGCCTTGAACCAATTCGGTCTGTTTTTGGTTTGGGGGGGAGAAATCCTCCAAATCCCCATTTTGACGAAACCTGTAGGTCTCGTTTTCCGCCGCTTTTTGGTTTGGCCTGTGAGGACGGCTTCATCGCTGCAGCGCCCATCGCTTTCCACATCGCGGAGGAGGAGAAGTTGTGCGCGAACGTCTACCCCCACGTGACCTTGGGCATGGCCCAGGCGTGGGGACGTGCCATGGGCACATCATGACTGCCATTGTGATAGGATATGAAAGAAAAGCTGACACATGGACGTGGTTGTCTACAGAAACGGTTACCCCCAAAGTGGATTGACCCCAACGGTCAATGGAAAGGACTACCTGGAGTCTCCCGAAGGACCCTTCAAACATGGTTGGTCATTACCCATTTGACCCATACCTTCGCATGTTTCCTGGGGGACATCCAGTACCCTAAAATGTGCCCTTCTCTGGTGATTTTTCTTGGGATTTTCCCTGTAAGAATGAACGACCAACAACTTCCATTTGGTGAAATGAATGTTTCTTGTTTTTCCCCTGTTGGTTTTAAAGTTGGAAGCGATTTCACTGGAACTATGTGTTGCTCCTTCTTTTCCAGGGGACTTCTCAGCAAATGGAGGACAAGTCTTGAGTCATCGCTCAGGAGGGAATCACGAACCACCAAACTCCTGGGACTCATGACACGCGTTCAGACAAGGAAGGTGCCTGAGACCTGAAGGGCCTTTGCTTCAAGGTTGACTAAATAATATTACATGCTTTACTAGGTGTTTCTTCAAGCTGAGAGTGAAGAGTGTAAGGAGTTTGCTGAATTCCTATGGGTTTTGCTCAAGGTTTACCAGGCTTTTTTTTTATCAAGCATAGAGTTAAGAGTGCAAGGATTCCAAGGGCTGGGGTGCAGGAAATTCTCTACGAAAACAGCTGATTTCGGGTGGTAACCCCTGTAGATTTCCCTGTAAGGATGGTAAGCCCTGGGTTCCAGAAGTCTTTACCTGACTTTCGCAGGGCGTGGCTGCGGTGAAGAGCAATGAGTTGCTGTCCCGGCGCCGCGCAGAGGGAGATTTCGAGGATCCGTCGGGGAGATGGGAGTCGGAAGCACCAGCGGTGTTTGGTTTGGAAAGGAAACCCAAAGGAATCCTCTTGAGCGGCTCCGATTTTCGATTTTTCGGTGCCCTATTTTGAGACCCACCCTACCTGGAGCTCCCTACCAGCCGGGTTTTTTTCGTCAAAAGGCTTTGCCCGAAGAAAATGGTCACACGGCGAAATACGTTTTTCCGCGTGTCGTTTTCAATATTTGATCGACAGGGGGATGGAGGCTTGCAAATGTGCTTCGTGTTTTAAGCTCCTTTTGAAATCAACCTAAGGGCGCCCTTAACAAGAGAGAATTTGCTTCAGAATATTCCTTATTCTCCCCAGTTGGTTTTAAAGGGGTTCTATCACTTCACACTTCGGTTGTTGCATTTTCCAGTGGGACTTCTCAGCAAATGGAAGGAAGGATGGAGGCAAACGTCAGATGGGCGTGTTGATGGAGGGTTTTTGTTGGGTCGGGTCCTATAAGAGACTTGGATGTTCGATTCACCAAGTCAGTAAGTGGACAACGCCGCCTGGGTTATAACCCGCTTATACTGGGGTTAACCCAGTCATTTGTGGGTTATAACCCAGGTGGCGTTGTGCACTTACTAACTTGGCGAATCGAACACCCAAGGAGAAAGACGTTCTTGGTGTTTGAGTTTACTCCAGACCATAGCTCCTGCTCTCCAGCGGTACTTCTCGGCTGGCTGTTTATAGCTGTATGTTGAAAGCCTTGAGGTCTTATCCGGGAGAACTTCTACTAGTTCCCGCAACAGGTTTTGCCAAAAACACGGCCAGGCCTTCTTTCGAGAATTTCGCTAGATAGGGAAAATGTCTGAATTATGCGAACTAATTGGACTTTGTGTTGCTTGTTGGTCTTCCTTTAAATACAGCGAAAAATAAGCTTAGGCGATATCCCCAGCACCACACCCGCCCCGGAACCTATTTGGGCCTATCGACCCCATCGCTTTCAGCTGGAGAATACATCGAACAAATAAAAAAGAAAAACAAAAAACAACACAAGTACCACTAGAGCTGAAGAACATTTATATTTCTATGTATATTTGTTTCCTCTCTCTCTCTCGCTTTCTCTTCTTGTCTCTCTCCCTTGTTTGTTTACATGGTATTTATCTTTATCTTGTTATGTTTTTTTCTCAATTTCATCATGTTGTGTCTGTCTTTCCTATCTATCTATCCATCCATCTGTCCATCCATCCATCTATCTATCTATTTATCTATCTTTCTATCTATTTATCGATCTATTGATCTATCTAGTTAGCTGGCTATCTAGCTATCTCTCTCGCTTTTTGTTTGATCTGTCTAATCCACCGGTCTAATCTGTCTCATCTTTCTCTTCAAGATCAAATGTTGAGTGAGTAGCTTGCTTTGTTTCAGGCAACCGCCTTAGATTTATGGGGGAGGGTCCGTAATCAGGTTGCTCCGAGCCTTCAAAACATGACCAACCTAATGGTATACTTCTGCTCCACGCGGTGCCCATTTACTTGGCGCTAAGTTTCTACGATACATTATGTTTGTTGGATGCATCAGTGCATGTTTTTTGCTGAGGGGTTGCGCATCTGAACCCATTCGACCTTCCCTTTTTGGTAAGTTTGGGAAACAACCCACAACAAAGTCCCTTGTTACTTGGGTCGGATTGGTTTGGGGGTTGAGCCCCAGTTCCTTTTCACAACAAACAGAGAAGGTACCCGCTATAGCCGCCACACCCAACCGTCAATTGGGGGCAAGGTAGTTTGCTTCCATTTGGTTAAGAGCACTTGCTAATTCCCCCTGTCGGTTTCAATTGAATCTATCACGACTCACTCCCTGGGTCCCTGGACTTTATCCGTTGTGAGAAGACCATCTTTGTGGCAAAACAATTTCAGTCCTTTTTTGGCGCATCCACTTCGGAAGAGACAAAATGAGTACGGGTCAAAATTAAACCACCTCATCTTTCAGGGCAATCTTGTTGGGGTTGCTTCATTTTTTGACAACCGCACCCATATGTCAGTTTATAAACTCCCATCACAATGGCAGTTCTTTTCTGTGATTTTATCTTTTCACCATGCAAAAAGCCATGACAAGTCCATTGAGGACATATCTCTTCCGTTTCTCCCCCCAAACAAAGTGTCTTAGCCAAAACATTCGGTTGGACATCTGTTCCTCAGTTGTTCAGTGGCTCCCTTTTCCCTTTTTTTTGGCTGGCTGCCCCACTAAAATGGTCCAAGCCCCAAAGAGGGTTCCAATCCTTTTTTTTCGGGCTCACTGAACAACTCTATAAGTTCCTTCAAAAGATGTTTGAAACGCTGGATACCAAGTCACCACTATGTACCAGTCGATTGCCGGTTCCTTTTTTGGCCCCCAAAAAAAAAGGCCACCCGCCCGCGGTTTCAGCCGGGCGATGGAGGCGGGGCTCCCGGAGTTCCTGGCCCAGCTGAAGCTGAAGTCGATGCTGCCCAGTCTGCTCTTCGGCGCAGAAGGGGTTGACATGAGGCTGTGGGCGTTTTTTGGCTTCCAGACGGGTGAGAAATGATGTTTCTGTTTTGTTTTTCCCAAAAGCATGGGGAAGGGTTCTTCCGCTGGGTTCACATGAGAGTCATTCCAAGGAGTCATTGCAAGGAATCATCATCATGAAAGTCATTGCAAGGAGTCATTGCAAGGAGTCATGAGAGTCATTGCAAGTTGCAAGGAGCCAAGTGCATGGAGTCAAGTGCAAGTTGCAAGTGCATGGAGTCAAGTGCAACTTGCAAGTGCATGGAGTAAAGTGCAAGTTGCAAGTGCAAGGAGTCAATTGCAAGTTGCAAGTGCAAGGAGTCAAGTGCAATTGACTTGCGAAGAGTTAAAATCTCTTCTTAGGGCGGCGGGGTAGTGCCGACGACACTCTACGAAAATCGACCCTCTGCGGGGATTGGCATGGTCGAGGTGCAACAACTCGAGGTTTTTTGCGATTTTGTTTTGGCTCGCGCGACCCTCTCCGGAGATCGGCGTGGTCGAAGTGCCAAAACTCGAGGTTGTTTTTGCGATTTTGTTTTTGCTCGCGCGACCCTCTGCGGGGATCGGCGTGGTCGAGGTGCAAAAACTCGAGTTTTTTTTACGATTTCTGCGGTGCTCGCGCGACCCTCTGCGGTCATCGGCGTGGTCGAGGTGCGAAAACTCGAGGTTTTTTGCGACTCTTGTTGTTCGAACTGGTCCTCTGGAGTTGTCTCTTGGTGCCCCCCTCCTCTCCCTGGTCCGCGGGCGGGCTTCGCAAGCTGCACGGAGCAACTTGCATAGAGCAACTTGCGCAGAGCAACTTGCGCAGAGCAAGTTGCACAGACCATTTTGCGCAGAGCACCTTGACCAGAGCAACTTGCGCAGAGCAACTTGCACAGAGCAACTTGCACAGAGCAACTTGCACAGAGCAGCTTGCACAGAGCAACTTGCGCAGAGCAACTTGCACAGAACAACTTGCACAGAGCAACTTGTACAGAGACATTTGCACAGAGTCAGTTGCACAGAGCTTCTTGCACAGAGCAACTTGCACAAAGCAACTTGCGCAGAGCAACTTGCACAGAGCAACTTGCACAGAGCAGCTTGCACAGAGCAGCGTGCACAGAGCAACTTTGACAGAGCAACTTGCGCAGAGCAACTTGCGCAGAGCAACTTGCGCAGAGCAACTTGCACAGAACAACTTGCACAGAGCAACTTGTACAGAGACATTTGCACAGAGTCAGTTGCACAGAGCTTCTTGCACAGAGCAGCTTGCACAAAGCTGCACAGAGCAGCGTGCACAGAGCAACTTGCAGGGAGCAACTTGCACGGAGCAACTTGCACGGAGCAACTTGCACAGACAACTTGCACAGAGCAACTCTCGCAAAGCAACTTGCGCAGAGCAACTTGCGCAGACCAGTTTGCGCAAAGCACCTTGCCCAGAGCAACTTGCGCAGAAGGGTCACGGGGCTGGGATGCTTTCGGGCCAGCCGTGGTGTAGTTGTTTTTTCCTCCTGTTGGTTTTGAAGGGAATCGATTGCACTACTGGAAATACACACGCACTGCCATCAGCACCTCAAACAACACCCCAATCAGCACCTAAACCAGCACCCCAAACAGCACGCCCCCTAGCACCAGCCCATCAATCTCTCAAATCACTTTCCCCTCTATGAGAAGTTAGCTCGTGCAGCGCGGTTGTCTCCCTAGCCATTCTTAGTGGCTGCTAATCATCCTGTGTTGCTACCGCTTCGACAGTGTTGTTGGGAGCGATGCAGCCACCTGCAGTCACTTGCAGTCACTCGAGTGGCTGCAAGTGGCTGCAAGTGACTGCAAGTGGCTGCGCTCGCAACAGGAGCCATGCGAGTGGCTCACATCAAAATGATTCACTTTTGCACGCTCCCAGCTATTTTGGTTCAAATGTTTCATGGTGGCTCCCAGCCATCCCCTTAGCCTTGCTTTTTAGTGTTTAGTTTCCATTCAACCCAAAAGTTATTCACTTTTCGTGGATATGAAAACGGGCCCAGGTTTGTCTTTCCATGGCAGCATTGCGAGTGCAATCAACCATGGTTTGTTTTTTTGGCCATTGGGTCTTGTTTGCCGCGGATGTTCAGCCTGTCCATGAGGAGGAGCCCATGTCCTTGGGCTGAGGCGCGCGTGGTGTCGGGACCAGGGGGTGTCCACCTTGGCGGCGCTGGCCGCCCGCGCGAGCGAAGCCGCGGCCGCGGCCGGCGAAGACCCGGAGGCGGCGCAGGAGATGGCCGCGAAAATCCGAGGCTTTGCCCGGATTTAAACAAATCGGATGACTATAGTTGCATATAGGATGATTTTTTGAACTATATAGTTGATAACAAACATAGGGTGAAAGTTGGCCAATGACTATAGTTGTTGTTTTTCATAAGTTGTGACCATACCAATTTTGGGTTGGAAACTATGGTTTCATTGCTCAGCACCAGGTGTTAGTCTCCCTTGTTGTTTAAGGGGAGCCGATTTCACTACAGGAACTATGTTTAGTTTTCCCAGGGGACGAAAAAGCAAATGGAGGATGATCAAAACCTGGGACTTGAGTACCAACCTTGGCATCCAGGTCATTGAAAGAGGGAAAATTGCTTTTCCAGGACACCCGGTAGGAGGTGGAATGAGGTGCCTGGACCCTCAAACTACCAAGGCGAAGGGAGATCCCCAATCATCATGTTCTCACTCCCTGAGTTCCTGGACTGTAAACTTTTTGGGAAGACCATTTCAGTGGTAGATACAAAGTTTGGACTTTTTTGGGGCCATCCACTCAGCAAGTGAGCCAATCATCATGTTGGACCCTTTTTTTTCATTAGGTTGGAATGTTGAGGGTGGAGTTGTTTCTTTCACCTAAAGCGAAACTGACCGCTCGCTGGGGTTCAGTTTTCACGGTTGAAACAAAGGGGGTTAACGCAACCAGAACAAACCCAGAGGGTCCAAGGATGGCTTTGGGGGGGAAGGGGTCTGAGTATCCTTATCTTGGAATTTCTGGAAAAGGGGGTTGAAACCACACACACACACACACACCCACATTTTCCTGGAGGATTGGGCCATTTGTTGATGCGACGCACTGAAGAGAATGGGAAAGCTACAGCTAGAGTTGCCCTTTACACAAGGGGGGGATTGTCCGAATAATCATGGGTATCTTACTCCATGAAGGTCATGGTGACTCCAAATAGAGGTCCTTGCCCCAAGGGTGAGGCAATGAACACTGCGGGGTAAACAAGGCAAGGACTTCCCTTTCTCACGTCCCGAGTTCCTGGACTTTACACTTGTTGGGAAGACCACTTTAGCGGCAATTCCCTTTGTTCGCTGCTTGAGGGTTATAAATGACATGGCCACCAGCACGCGGTGCTCTTTTTAGTCGCAGAACCTCATGGAACCGGGCCCTCGTGGAACCAGCCTATCTGGGCTGAGACCCCAAAGCTTTCCGCTGTTGGGGGAAAAGGCCATATGAGTCACAATCAAAACCCGGTATTAAAACGGCCTACCAAAACAATGACTGCAAAGGGGGCCGCGCCCAATTCTGGCTGGGATTGTCCCTAACTCCATTCCAAGCACCCGGGTTTCCTTTAAAAGAATGGTAAGGACTCAATGTTGATGATGATTTGCTGCTGAACGGTGTCTAATGGTGGTGAACTATGAACCCCTTTGTTTCAACGTAGGGGGAACATAAAAGGACAACTCACTTCTCGAGTGGATTGGCAAAAGCAGTGTTTTTGTCTATGTAGGGAATTGCTTCACAAGTGTCGGAACTCGGTGGGGATTTCATGTCCACCGACAAATTTTGAGGTGGTTGCCTGTCAAAATTCATAGCCGCACAACGGGTTCGTACGGAGACAGTCACAGCTCTACAGGGCGCCTGTTCAATTCTTTACAGCAGCCCTCAAAACCCACGGGAGAAACTGTTAGGAAAGGTATTGGTTGTTTTGGGGCAGCCGAACCCCTGCAGACGTTCCTGCAACCAAACCTTTTGAAAGTTGCTGGGCGAAAGGAAAGCGCAGGGCTGCGAAAGCTTTGCGAAACGGATGCGAGCAAGCGTGTTCGTGAATAGCTGTTCGCGGAAAAAAGGGAAGGTGTCGCATCATGTGTCTGGATTTCTTCCCCCCAACCGCAACCAAAGCGAGTTTCGACCGGATCTGACCGAGTTGGGTTTCCCCGAGTTGGGTGTCCGTTCTTTTGCTGATCGCCTTTTACTTGTGGGCCCGGGCCAACTGAGTTTCGCCACCTCAAAAATGTTTTGCTCGACGGCGATGCAATCAGAGCGAAAGACTGTGGCGCGCAAAAGCGGGTTTTGCTGCTGCTAAAGTGTACTTTGTGTACCTCGCGTGTAGTGAGGGAAAGCGGCGCCTTCGGCAAGTTGCGACTTTCGGGCTGGAGCTGTATATTCTTTGCATACTGCATTTGTACCGAACAGGGTGCCGGTTTTTGATCTGGGCTCCGCGGGTTTCGCGTCTGGGAATGCGCGGAAGGGTGCGTTACTTGGCCCAATTTGTGCTCCGTGAGAGCCAAGCTGGGCGCTAATTACGGGTTCGCGAAAGGCTTCGAGGCAGGCGTAGAGCGCAACAACTTTCATGTTGGTTCCTTCGAATTCTTTCTCATGAGCCCTCCAAGGTTCAACAATGATGGGGTTGCGTCGGGGGGAAGTGGTCTGATTCCTCACACCCGGTCTTCCCCACTAAACCCAGTCCCGAGTTTAATAACCTGCCCTGCAGAGGGTCCAAGTGCCTTATATTTGCGGAATTTGAGATTCGAATCTGCAAATGATGTTTTTCCCCTTGAACCAGACCCCTTGGACCTCAAGTATGGTTGGTACTTGGAATTTCTGGGAACGTGAAAGCTAGGTTTCAGACCAACGCTCACAATTGGATTGGACCTTTGCGTAGGTTCGCTGTTGCAAGGCCCCTACCGATTGGAGACCACACCTTGAGGCCTGTTTCCTTGTTGATTTTCCGGCCCAAAAAGAAAAACACGAGGTCCCTTCAAAAAACCCTGGTCCTGGGCCCATTGCTGGACCCTTTTGCCGCCCAAGGAACCTACAGGCACTGGGATAGAGAGATGGATAGATAGAAAGATAGGCAGATAGATAGATAGAAAGATAGATGAACGTTTACAAACAAACGCACACACATATAAATATATATATATATATACGTCTCTTCTTGACACACAGTATATCTACATATATACTTATGTCGGTGTGTCTTAGAAAATGGACCCCCCCAAAAAAAAGTAGCTTCCCTTTGGTTTCCTTCGAAGTGAAGCCGTATGAGTCAACTTCAGAATTATCAAAGACCACTTTATCATCGGCGTTTCATTCAAGACTGTGTTTGTGCATTTTCCTTGGAGAACGATAGGGATCCCTGCAGAGGGTTCGGCGGGCACTTTTCAAATTCGCACGGCGTCACAGCGAGGGCGCTTTGACACGCGCAATCCTCGCAGAGGGTTGGTTGGGCACTTTACGCATTCGCACGGCGCCACAGCGAGAGCGCTTCGAGGCGCGCGATCCCTGCAGAGGGTTCATCGGGCACTGCACGCACGCGCGACACGTGGAGAACGATAGGGGACTCACTAAAAGTAGAATGAATACACCCCACACAGCAAATATTGACTCTGGCTCATATGCATATGTTTTTTGTTTCTCACAATGTATTGGAGCAACTGGGATCCCTTTGGTCTGTTTCAATACTTTCAGGTTCACTACATGTGGACTGGTACTTGGCCTGTTCGATTCGCCAATCTTGATGCTCAATTCCAGCTGGAAGCTTCTTCCTCGGTTTACGGTGGATGACCTAAGTTTTGGAAGTGGGAACCGTGGTTGGTTTACTTGCCAGAATAAGGGATAATTTTTGGGGCATCCACCGCGACAGATGATGCGGATCACACTTTTTGAACCCGGGTCTCTATCGGATTATCGGGCTGCTTCTCCCCTTTCTATGGCTCCTTTGTTTTGGGGTATCAAAGCGTTGTGGGTTTCTTTTGAAGAAAGCTGACGACTCGCTTTTTTGATCCAGCTGGACTTGAATTTGCTTGGGCTTGGACCATTTTAGTGGTAAACCAGCGTGGGTACTTTTTTGGGCCGGTGCTGGCCCCACTGGATCAGAGGGCCCCGAGTTGTTCCCCACATCTATGTTCTTACTTTTACCGCTCGTCGTCCGCGCGCCGCGTCTCCTTCTCCTTCTCCTCCTCCTCCCGATCAGAGGGCCCCGAGTTGTTCCCCACATCTATGTTCTTACTTTTACCGCTCGTCGTCCGCGCGCCGCGTCTCCTTCTCCTTCTCCTCCTCCTCCCGCCCTCCCTCCTCATCACTGTCTCACTCACTCACTCACTCACTCACTCGCTCACACTCACTCACTCACTCTCACTCACTCACTCACACTCACTCACACTCACTCACTCACGCTCACTCACACTCACTCACTCACACTCACTCACTCACACTCGCTCACACTCACTCACTCACACTCAGTCACTCACACTCACTCACACTCACTCACTCACACTCACTCGCGCTCACTCACACTCACTCACTCACACTCACTCACTCACACTCACTCACACTCACTCACTCACACTCACTCACACTCACTCACTCACTCACTCACGCTCACTCACACTCACTCACTCACACTCACTCTCATTCACTCACTCTCATTCACTCACTCACTCACTCACTCGCTCACTCACTCACTCACACTCGCTGACTCACTCACACTCAGCTTTCACTCACACCGTGTAAAGGGACTGGATGTTGTCGCGCAAGAGACAGGATGTTGTCGCGCGCGCGGCGGGGGGCGTGCGAAATCGTGGCAGGCGCAGCACTTTGGCGATGCCATTGCCGAAGTCGTGGCAGGCGCAGCATTCTGTGCATCTGGGTGTGTGTTTGTGTGGCAGGGGCAGCATTTGGCAGCTGTCTAAAAGGACAGGATGTTGTCGCGCGCGCGGCGGGGGGCGTGCGAAATCGTGGCAGGCGCAGCGTTCGGCAGCTGTCTAACGGGACAGGATGTTGTCGCGCGCGCGGCGGGGGGCGGGGGGCGGGCGAAATCGTGGCAGGCGCAGCACTTTGGCGATGCCATTGCCGAAGTTGTGGCAGGCGCAGCATTCTGTGCATCTGGGTGTGTGTTTGTGTGGCAGGGGCAGCATGGCAGCTGTCTAAAAGGACAGGATGTTGTCGCGCGCGCGGCGGGGGGCGTGCGAAATCGTGGCAGGCGCAGCGTTCGGCAGCTGTCTAACGGGACAGGATGTTGTCGCGCGCGCGGCGGGGGGCGTGCGAAATCGTGGCAGGCGCAGCACTTTGGCGATGCCATTGCCGAAGTCGTGGCAGGCGCAGCATTCTGTGCATCTGGGTGTGTGTTTGTGTGGCAGGGGCAGCATTTGGCAGCTGTCTAAAGGGACAGGATGTTGTCGCGCGCGCGGCGGGGGGCGTGCGAAATCGTGGCAGGCGCAGCATTCGGCAGCTGTCTAACGGGACAGGATGTTGTCGTGCGCGCGGCGGGGGGCGTGCGAAATCGTGGCAGGCGCAGCACTTTGGCGATGCCATTGCCGAAGTCGTGGCAGGCGCAGCATTCTGTGCATCTGGGTGTGTGTTTGTGTGGCAGGGGTCAGCATTCGGCAGCTGTCTAGAGGGACAGGATGTTGTCGCGCGCGTGGCAGGCGCAGGGGGCGTGCGAAATCGTGGCAGGCGCAGCACTTTGGAGATGCCATTGCCGAAGTCGTGGCAGCCGCAGCATTCTGTGCATCTGGGTGTGTGTTTGTGTGGCAGGGGCAGAAATTTGCGGCTGTCTAAAGGGACAGGATGTTGGCGCGCGCGCGGCGGGGGGCGTGCGAAATCGTGGCAGGCGCAGCACTTTGGCGATGCCGTTGCCGAAGTCGTGGCAGGCGCAGCATTCTGTGCATCTGGGTGTGTGTTTGTGTGGCAGGGGTCGCATTCGGCAGCTGTCTAGAGGGACAGGATGTTGGCGCGCGCGCGGCGGGGGGCGTGCGAAATCGTGGCAGGCGCAGCACTTTAGCGATGCCGTTGCCGAAGTCGTGGCAGGCGCAGCATTCTGTGCATCTGGGTGTGTGTTTGTGTGGCAGGGGTCGCATTCGGCAGCTGTCTAGAGGGACAGGATGTTGTCGCGCGCGCGGCGGGGGGCGTGCGAAATCGTGGCAGGCGCAGCACTTTGGCGATGCCGTTGCGAATCGTGGCAGGCGCAGCACTTGTGGCGCCATTGCCGAAGTCGTGGCAGGCGCAGCATTCTGTGCATCTGGGTGTGTGTTTGTGTGGCAGGGGCAGCATTTTGTCACTCATTCGCTCGCATTCATACTCACACTCACTCACACTTCTCGGATGTCTAAAGGGTCGTCTACAAGGCTTGTGTAAGTGCAGAGCTGTGAGTACATGAGGCAGGGTGCATTGTGAGGCAAGCTGTTGGATGTTGAGATTGGGCTCGCAGAAGCTTTGTGTCCAGGGTCACGAACTTATATTTTGCAGAAGTTTTGTCAGAAGTTGGCAGAAGATTGCAGAAGTGTTGTCAGAAGTTTGCAGAAGAATGTTGAGCAGTTCGATAGACCTGCTCTGTAATCGCATCCATACAAGGGGCGCACGGTACATGTGTGTGGACATTTGAACTCACATCCTTGGGAAAAACATAGCATGTGGGGTTATCCGGTCCTTTAATTTTTTTCTCCTAGGTTTGGCGGTCGGTCGGTCAGCCACCGGCGCTAGACCAACGGGATACATGCATTTCTTTCATTGGAGGGCCATTTTGTCAGTTGTTTTCTGCGGGCTGGCTTTTTGGCCTGTCTCGCTTTTGTAAGTTGTTGTTGCTTTTGATGGCATTTCGGCCCCAGAATCTAAATCTGCCACTGAAGGCGCCCTGAGCCCTAAACCCAACCCTAATCCTCAAGCAAACCCTAGCTAAGCAAGCCCGAAACCCACCCTAAACCACCTGAACGATCCTCAAACCCAACCTAAACCATCCCCACACCAACCCTGCACCAGCACTACAACCACGCTCAATAGTCGCTAAATCAACCCAACACAGGCCCCTGAAGCCACCCTAAACCAACCTAACCCGACCCTCAGCCAAGCCTAGCAAACCCTAAACTGATTCAAAACCCGCCCTAAACCAACCCTTAAGCCATCCTAAAAACCAACCCTAAACCACACCCTTAACCAGCACTAAACCATCTCTAAACTACGCGACACCGACCCTAAACAAGCCCCAAAGCAGCCCTAAGCCCCATACGAACCGAAACTCACCAGAAAACAATCCCCAAACCCAGCCTGAACCAGCCCCAAACCCATGGTTGTTGTTGGAAAACATTTGAACCATTTTTGCGTCTTGTGGTTTTGTGGGAAATCCAACCACTTAACTGCTAAAATTTAATTTTTTTGCTACCCTTCCAACGTCAACCAAGAACCATCCCACCACATTACTTCAACCTGAAACCGACCCTCAAACCCTATACCAACCCACCCACCCAGCCATCAATTCCAGCCGCAGCCAGCCGAAGCCAACCGCACCAAACTAGCCCTGCTGCCACCCGCAGCAGCCAACCCTAGACCTACTCCCAAACCAGCTCTAAACTAACCCCAAGCCCACCCTAAACCAGCACAAACAAAAACTTAACCAGCCCTAAACAAACCCCAAGCTTCCAAATGTAGCCAAACCATAGCTTTCAGTCATGCCGTGGGTGTTGAACAGGATGCTAGGGGGTGGTGAACCTAGGAAACCAAAACCGATCACATTCAATGGCATTGAATTTCAATGGGAACCCGCTCAGAAGTCCGGTGGTGGACACAACTCCCGACCTAAATGATGTCCACTCAAAGGATCCCTACCTAGGGCTTCAAGAACCTGTAAAAATGTCGTACCCTGACTAAAACATTGTGTTTTTGCACTATTTTCTGAAAACATCGTGTTTTTCAGGGAAAACACCGTGTTTTTGATAAAACCCATTTAAAATGGGCAAACACTCATTTGGAGCAAAGGGTCAAAGGCAAGGGTGGGAGTGGAATTCACACAGGCATCGCCCATTAAGATTTCAAGCAACGCTCTAAACTGAGTATGCTTCAATTTCTAAGGACCACATTGATGAGCCTGACAGCCAGGGTGCGCAGCTGGCTTCAGCCTTTAAGTACCTTCACAGCAACAGGCACCTGAAGACTGGCGCCAGGTCATACCGAACCAGTTTGAAGGGGGTGCTGGAATCCCAACTCCTTTTAATGCAAAACAAGACCAGGTGACACCGTTTGAGATTGATTTTTTTGTTTTAATGATTTCTGAGTATTTTTTAAAAAATGGGGCGGGATCCTGGCGGCTAACCGCAAAAACCCGTAGAAAACCCGCAGCCCCAACCGAAAACATCGCGCTTTTGGAAAACATCGTGCTTTCTAACCCGTAGCTAAACCGTGGAAAACCCGTAGTAAAGCGTGGCAAACCGTGGAAATTCTATGGGTTTTTCGGGTTCAACCACGAATGCGCTAATTCGAGATCGTTGCTGGAAAACAACGAAGTCGTGAGCAAAAGCACGGTCTTTGCTTGAGCTTGCGCGCTGTTCGAAGCCAGCACGTGGCATTGCTGCTTGACAAGTGTCATAAAACCGTGGTACTTTGACTATTTGGGTCCCCGGCCTCCTTCTTTCAGATTGGAGTTGCGAAAGACGAGTGACTGCGAAGCTGATTTCGTGACGAGCGCAGAAGGGGAGGGCAATGGGAGATTCTGAGGTTGAGATGATGCTTTTGAGATCTTTTGAGAACGGATGACGAGTTGAAGGAATGTATGGCAAAGTCCTTGAAATCGAAAATGCCGTGTTTCCCGAAAACATCGTGTTTTCCCAAAACATCGTGTTTTTTGTAGGTATGACATTTTCATCGGTTTTTGAGGCTCCTGGTAGTTCAATTTCATCCCCCATCTTCCATTTGGTTATACATAGTGTTGATTTTCCCTTGTTGGTTTTAAAAGGAGTTTATCACTGGAAATATTTTATCATTTTTCCAGGGGTCGAAAAAGCACATGGAAGATGAAGGTTTCTGAAAATAGGGGACGCTTTTTGGGCTGGTGTTCTTAGGGGGTCCTTTGCCCAAAAAGCCTCTATTCAGGGAACCCTTGTAGACCCAATTTTGGGAAGCTCATTCGCTGGCAGACCTCGCGCCTCGCACGCTGAGGAGGGGCCACAGAGCGCCCGCTTCACGAAGAGTCCGGATCTGTCTTGGAGCTGACCGGAACGATTGGCGCCCACCGCTACAGCTGAGCCCAAAACGAGCCAAGCTTCGCAGGTTCTATCTTCCATGTGCTGAAATGAAGATTTGTTTAATTCCCCCTCTTGGTTTTCAAGAGAACCTATCACTACTGGAAATATGTTATATTTTTTCCAAGGGGGCTTAAGCAAATGGAAGTCGCAGGTTCTATTGGTGGGCTTCATGGATTCCTTTTGCGTTTAAATGGATATCTTTGTGTATTTCCCCGGTTGGTTTTAAATGGAATCGAATTCGCTAGTGGACTATGTTCTCGTTTTTTCCAGGGGGCATGAGCGAATGGAAGATGGGGTTTACAGCAAGGCCTAGTTCAATCTGTGTAACCACCAAAATAGACCCAGCACAAGTCAATAGGATTTTAGTGGTGGCGCAAAAAGTGTGCATTTTGTTTGGCTGGTCACTGGCCAAGTGAGCAAGTGCGTCTGTGTTTCGGAAACCTCTACATCCTCCGGCTGAGGGTAGGGTAAGGGACACCAGCAGGAAACCGTTGCCATCTTGGGGGCCCGTTTTGAGACAAACATATTGAATCAAAGCAGCTTCTCTTGAAAGGGAAGCCAAAAGGTGATTTGAAGACGACGTCCCCAGAATTAGTTCCCCGTTTTTGTTTTTTTGCTTTTTGGGGTTACCTTTGTTTTCCATTAACCAGGCAAAAAATGTATATTTTGTGCTGGGGTCCTAATTCCAGCCAAGAAGAGTGGTAGGCAAGGGATTGAATCGCCAATCTTCAGTTCACTGGGCGCTTTCTTCAAGTCTCCACTGTTTACCCGGAAGAAAGCTGCTTTTGTTAGGGCTGACTCGGTTGCGGGTTTCTTCTGGTTTTTAGGTCGTTTCTTCACTCACTTGCAACCAAAGCGAAGCGACCGGATCTGATTTTAGTCATGGCCCCCAGCGGACCCAAAAGGCAAACCTTTTATGTCTGGATTCCTTGGGCAGCTGAGAATGCAAAGAAGCTTTTTCGGGGAGAATCTGGGAACGCTACGTTACAAAGGCCAAGTGCAAATATGTCCCAGCCGGAAACCACAGAGAGCAAAAGAGGCTTTTGCGTGAGGAGCTGACTGCGGAGTTCCACTGCGGGAGATGAGAGAAAAAGAATCGATGTCCGTTTGCTTACGACATGCTGTGGATGGGCTGGATCCATTTCGCACCACCTACGAAACCATGCTAAAACCATTGTTTGTTGGTATTTTCAGGAGAGTCGAATTATTCCAGGGTGTCTTAGGACTCCTGCACCACCTAAGAAACCATGGGAAACATTCCTTGTTGGCATTTACAGGGAATCATCAAAAGCCAGGGTGTCTTAGGTGGTGCGAAATGGACATGGCAACCATCCACAGTATGTCTTGGTTTCTCCTGGTGTTGTTTGAGGGACTCGATTTCCCCGGAGGTTTGCCTGGAGTCTCCCTAAGGGCCCTTTGAAAATGGTTGGCCAGTACCCAACATAATGGCTGGTCATGGACCCATTTCTGCAAAAAAAAAGATCAGAAGGAGACCCCAGGTATGTCTATATTGACAAAAACAACAACCAAACAAAAAAACAGCAGGTTGAGAGGAAAGCAAGGACAAGAAGTTCGAGAGGCGTTTTTTCAGGTGCTCTCCGGACCCGTGCGCCAAACCGGCTTCCAGCTGAAATACATGTTTGGCTTCGCGAAACATGGGACTCCCGCAATTTGTCTATCAGCCACTTGGTTCAATGTCCTCCTGGGGTTGGTGAACCACCTTGGCAGGTTGACTGCCAAGGCCCCTCCTTTTTCACTCACGGCCTCGCCGAGGTCCCTGCTGACCTGCGCTCTGTGTTCTGCCGCTCTCAGTCGTGGCCTGTGGTTTCGCGGTGTCCCGTGTTTGGCCCGGGCAGTGATGTCCACCTCTGGATGGACGGCAGCGTCTGCTTGCCCCAGCACTGTTTCTGCATCGCGGATGAGGTGTTCAAGTGTTCGGCCTTGTCCAGGCTGCCTCTCAGTCTGCTGCGGCCTGGCGGGCTATCTCCTCTCTTGGCCGCGTCCCTGCACACCTTGCTGATCTAGGGCTGGTCTTGTGGGAGCTCTGTTGGAGGCGGTCTCCTTTCTCGTTGCGAATCAAGGGCCGCGTTCCTGTCGGGTCCACCCTTTTGGCTTGTGAGGCTGTCCACGCCTGTAACCATGCCGCTGATCTTGCAAGGCCGCTGGCTCTGCTCTTTCTGTTGCCCCTCGGCTTGATGCTCTGCTTCTGTGGGCGTCCAGGCCTCTCTGACGCGGCAGCTCCGCGCCATGGAAGTCTTGTGCCGCTGCCTCGGCCCAACTGGCCGAGTGTGGCTTCATGGAGGCCCAAAGTTGTACGTATGCCTGGGAAACCGTGCGCCTGGCTGGGCATATGTTGGATGCCTTTTTTTTTGAGTGTGGTGGCCCTAGGGGTGGGCAAAGGGGGGGGGTGGAAAAGGGGGGGGAAAAGGGGGGGGAAAAGGGGGAGGGGGGGGAAAGGGAACGAAAATGGGGGGAGCAGGGGGGGGGGGGGAAGACCACATCTGCTGTGCAGTGAACAAGGGGACGTTGCAAAGCTCCCCTTTTCGGGCCTTGCTACGGGCACTGGGGCCCCATGCACCTGGCCTTCACGTCTGAGCGGCGTGCCGTTCCAACCTCTCTGCAGGACCCAACGTGGGACTGCCGCAATTGGATGGGCGCCCACGTTCTCAAGAAATTTCTGGACCCTGGGGGTTCGACCTGACGAAGTTCGATCACGGGAGAAAAACCAGGAGAAACAACACACATGATGAAGCTGCCTTTGGCCATGCGGTCTTGGACCTTTAAAACAGAGGGGGGCCATACAACCACCATCATTTACCCTTCAGGAGGAACTGACCATCCGAATTGTGTCCTCCATTTTTTCAGTGGGGGGGCAAGGAACCTTTGGGCAAAGGTGATCCCAGAATCATGATGAGAAGTACCTGGAGCCTGTTGTCGCAGCCATGGGTTCACGGGGCAGAATCCCGGGAGAGCGAAAACTTTATTGACCGAATTATTCAAGCGACTTCTCACCCAGCCAGGTGCACTTTACGTTTTTTCCTTGGTGGCTCTTTCGTTATTTTAGTGGCGGCCCAAAAAGTGTGCACTTTTTTTTGGGCTGGTCAGCTTCTTAAATGTGATCCTTGATAAAGCCACGGCTGAAGTAAGCGGATGTGTGGTGAATCCGCAATTCACATTGCATTCTTCATATTGGCAGCGCTCGCGAGACGTGTTCTCCGGGTTTTGAACCCTTGGGTTCAAACCGCCATGGGGGTGAAAAAACAATCAACTACCATGGCTTCCAGATCCCCGAAACGTCCAATTTGTGTTTTAGTAACATCAACTAAAACACTAAAAGCCCAAAAACCTGAGGCGCTAGCTGGGAACCCCCAAGATTTGTTTAGAGGGAATCTAGCACTTGCTTAGAACATTGTTTTTTCTGTTGGTGTTTAGAGGGAATCGATTTCACTGGACATCTTTTTGGGTGCTTCAGCAAATGGCTTGGTAAAATCAACTAAAACACGAAAGGCCTAAACACCCGAGGCGATTTGTTGGGAACCCCCCCAAGATTTGTTTGTTGTTAAGACGGTTTTATTGGGTTTTCAGGGGCAGCCTTGTGGCAAGGGATACGTTCTCAGGGCCCCTTGAGCGAATGGACCGGATCGGAGTTTGAGCTCACGGGCTCTGTCGAGTGACCCCAAAGGCTGATCACTTTTCATTTCCGTGTCACTGGGAAAATCAACTTAACGCCTGGGTGCCTCGTCTTTTTTTGGGGCTTTGGTCTTCCTGGCATGGTCCCCCCTTGTGAGGCTACCTCTGATTGTTATGGGCAACACCTGCCCGGCTTTTCTTGGTCCGATAGCCACGACGCCCGAAGATTGGTCTTTATTCCCATGTCCTTTCAATTTGAGTGGGTCTGGTTCATGGGTGGCATCCGATGACTGCTATTGGGTAGCGTTTTTTTGGGTGGAAATCTCTTGGGGTTTTCCGCTCCACCCACAAGTGAAACTTTCTGCAGGGGGGTCAACAGCAACCTAGAAATTAGGTATGTATAGAAAAGTTGTGCCAATCCACTTAGGAAGCCGGCAAGGAAATGCATCATTCGCACCATTCGCAGCTCCACCAATCACTCTTGTAGGTGGATCCCCATTGAAAGTCATAGGAATAGTATTATCGGATGGTCCACTTCTGAGACGGTTCCTCCTCAAAATTCATCGTCAAGAGGATTGCCAAACACAAGCATCCGTTACTAGACTTAGCTCACCTTGCTGTCTTGCCCTTTGGGTTATCTTACTCCCGACATCTCTCAATGTCCAGTACTTTGGGGAACTCCAGGGACTGGTCCCTGTACTTGGATCCTCAAACTACCCATGGAGAAGGGAAGTCACCCCAGAATGTTGGGCAACACGTAAAAGGTATTTTGAGAGCCCAGGTACTTGGTTTTCGCCTTATCGCCCAGAAAGAGAAGTGAAACCAAAGTGAACCCCCCTTTTTTCGCCCAGCAAAAAAGTGAACCCCCCTTGTTTCGCCCACTAAACAAGTGAACCACCCCCGCTTTTGCCCACGGGTGGGAAGCCATTCGCCGCATCCGCCGCCTGCGCCGAGGCTTGGCGCGTGGTCCGGCCTGGCGGCGGACAGCAAGGCGCACGGCTCTTCGGCCGTTGGATCGAGGCAGGGCTGGAAAAATAGCCCATAAACAACCGCTCGAGAATGAGCTCCCCTGTTTTTCACATTTTGCTTTTTTGGCGTTCCCTATATTCCAGGAGTTTGTTTTCATGTTTTGCTTTTTGGGGGTTCCCTTTATTTGAGGAGTTTGTGCTTTATTAATGTTTTGCGTTTTTTTTTTTTTTTTTTTTTTTTTTAAGGAGTTTGTACATTTTTCATGTTTTGCTTTTTTGGGGTTCCCTGTATTGCAGAAGTTTGTGTGTGTTTTTTTCATGTGTTGCTTTTTTTTGTGGTTCCCTGTATTTGAGGAGTTTGTGCTCTTTTCATGTTTTGCCTATTTGGGGGTTTCTGTATTG